TCTACCTCATTCCTTAGGTATCGTGTTACCATCTCACTGATATTATCATCTAGGAACTGAAGTTGGAAGAACAAGGTTTTTTCTAGAACTTCTGGTACTTTGACCTACCTTGACTTCTGATCCATATTCTTGTCGATGAATTTCTTTGGGTAACCATTTTCATTCATTGCTGCTGGAGCATTGTATGTTTTCAAAACCACCCCTATTTTGCGATCAGGAGTTAAAAATAAACTGCCTAATTTCACCTCTCCTCTGTGGATCTGTCAATTTGAGTGTTTCTATGGAGCTAGTTACATAGACCATACAATCAAGCGTGTTTATCGTTGGATTTCCCAACACTATTCCGCATGGTTAAGTAAGGGATGATGCTGCAGGATTGGACTTCACCAACCCCTAGATTAGAAATAGGAAGTGAAGTGGTAGAGCACGTTGACCGCTTCACTTAATTGGGAAGTACCATCAGTCCCAACGGGTTAATCTCCGACGAAATCTCAGCACGAATACAGAGGGCTAGTTTCGTATATGCCAGCTTACGCCGTCTCTGGCGTAGACGTGATATTCGGCTGGCTGTCGACCAAAGGGCGTGTGTACTGCTCAACAGTCCGCTCCGTCCTCCTTTATGGCTGTGAGAACTGGCCATTGAGAGCAGAAGACATGAAAAGATTAGCTGTCTTCGATCATAGGTGTCTGCGTTCTATCTCCCGCGTGAAGTGGCATAATAAGGTGAGCAATATTGAGGTTAGGCGTCGAGTGCTAGGTAAGGCGGGGAAATCAATCGACGAGGCTGTGAAATTAGATTGACTGAGATGGTTAGAACATGTGTTACGTATGCCTAGTCATCGTCTTCCTCGACAGTGGGCAATGTTAGCTGATATAGGGTCAGGCTGGGAAAGAGCTAGCGGTGGTCAAACCAACACATGGCACCAGTCAATGAAATCCACAACAGTTAGTCTAAGCCACGGAGGAAGGTGTAGACTTCCTGACTGTTTGGGGTCTTCGGGACGGTAAAAACCAATGGTTGGAAACAATTGGTGACATGGCTCAAAATCGTTCTCAGTGGCGCAGATGCATCCACTCCCCTTGTGACTTATGATTTCCAATGAAACTGTTTTGTTCTCCGTTATTACTATTCCTTTGTCTCACACCTCTGTTTACTGTCTATACTATGCATTTCTCCTACTTTCTTCTCTTGCTTTGTGTGCTACATGGAGTGTGGCGACTTGAACTGCCGCACATTTGTGCAAAGTTCTATGTCGAAAACCAACCGACCGAAGGGACAAACAATATCCATTCATAGCTCTATTCTGTCTCATCTCGTGGATACAGAACACAAAATTGATGTTAACGAGACGGCTTCCAAGGTTATCTAACATATACGGACTAATTTTAATTTTACCTCAAGAGTTCGTCTACTACATATTGCTGAGACTGGCTGTCGGAATCCACATTAAGAAGCCTAACTTATGTATCAAAAATAGGTTGGTTCAGACGCTTTCCTTACCTTAACCATCAAGGTCTTACTGATCTTTAATTTGTTGTGGAAACTTCTTTAATTTTATTTGATATTCTATTTGTTATTACATTTTCATGCTTATGGTGACTTATGCATCTTTCCTGAATTGTTATTCCATTGATCCTAATTAACAAATCACTATTAGCAAAAATATTCATTCAGACATCTATAAAACACAAAATGAGTGAACAAAGAATATCCTTTTCTATAATTTCCTCTTTTGGCTCTACAGTTATGTATATATATATATATATATATATATATATATATATACGTAGAATATTCAATAACAATACTACTGTTTTTTATATTATATCAATTTGTAAAGTAAGATCATAATGGAATTACAGTTCATTAAAGATGCTTAAATTATAATGATAATAATAAAAATAGAGGAGCAAATAGAATATCAACTAAAATTAGGAAATTTCCACGAAATTCAGGATCATTCAAACCTAAATGGCCAAAGTAAGGACAATGTCTGAAGTAACTACTTTTGGACGCAAAAATTAGGCTGGTTAAGATGGATCCCCATAGCCTTAGCAATATATAGTAGACGAATTCTTAATGCAAAATTGAGATTCGTAGGTATGAGTTAAATGACCCTGAAAGCATGATTAACATCAATCTTGTGTTCTGTATCCACAAGATGAGATAGAATAGCGCTATATGAATAGATTTTGTTTGTCCTTTACTTAACCACTGTGCAGGGTGATGTTCGGAAATTCGACGAGAAACACGTCTAATTGTACGGCCTATGTATTACTTAAAAAAGCACCAATATTGTTAATGACACGTATTCTAGAACATTCTGTGTATATAAATATATAATTGTAGAGCCGAAAAAGGAAATTATCGAAAAGAATATTTATTGCTGAAATTTTCCTTTCTCTTCTAAATGTCTGAATGAGAATTTTCGCCAAATTTTCGTACTTTTTAATCAGTGAATATGACTTTGAAAGCAGACATAAGAAAGAAAATCCAAAACAAAAAAGACAGTAAATTTGCAGTGCAAAACGACATGATTTCATTTCTCAGATAAGAGAATGGGTACTGCAAATGTCCAGGTGATAACAGAAAAATTGTTGTAGATCACGTGAATGCTAAACTCGAAATTATGGATAGAAAACGCATGATAATTGTTTTTTGGTTCATGTCTCTGTCACATAAGTTTAATGTATGCCTTCTGCCTGCTTCAAACTAAACGCTTCTGCCATGTTTATCTGAGGCTTCTACCATGTCGATTGTGGGTACTCTCGCTGAATATTCACTATGGTATGTGTTTGTCAGTAAATGAACTTTTTTTCTAAGTGTCCTATTATAATAGGCAAAAGCCGTTCTAGATGTGTCCAGCACCCTACACCTAATTAATGTGGGATGTACATATCTATGTCAGTCCTCCAATTTTAATTGAAGTTGTAAAAGCTGTCTCCACTGTAAAATGAGGCTTAGCAGAGGGACCCCATTGTATGACTCTAGAAGTGATCATGAACTGTTAAGTAGGTTAACTAAGATACATGGTAATGTGTGGAAATCCTAGAAAGGACTAGTTGGACTGTTTCAAATTATTGGTTATTGCAGGTTATCAGAAAGAGACAAATCTTCCCGTGATAATTGTGGTTGCGATAAGCATGACTAACACAGTATCTAGAATTCTATAATCCTGTGTAGACTAAGCTATGCTCTGGAGAATAAAACCTTGAAAAATCAAGAAGGCTTTAGGCTAGGAAGAGGACGTACTGACCACTACTTTATCCTTCGACAAATTCTGGAAAATAACCATACTTGCCGGCGTCAAACATTCGCTATATTTCTTCACCTAAAGATGGCATCTAAATTTGTCTACCGAGAGTTGTTATGGTAATACCTGATCGATAAAGTATATTACACTAATCAAGGCACTCAACCTCACTAAGCTGTCTAAGAGCTTACTGAGAATTGTCACATGAGGTGATGGCAATAAATGGTGTCTGTCAAAGTTACTAACTATCCCCAGTTTTGCTTATTTTCATCGTTGATGGAAGGTACGCTAATCAAGTTTAATGTCTAAAGGATTGACTTGTTATCAGGGTACATTCCCGGCAATTTAGAGGACACAGATAATATTGTGCTTCTGGGTGTTACTGTCGACATAATTTAAAGAATTCTGAACAACCTGTGTGAAGTTCTACTTCATCTCGTTATACATTGGATGAATAACCTCCTTTTGTTTGATTGAACGAGTGAAACTAAACTATATTAGCAGTATACGATCTGAAGTCTTTACTTGTGAGTTTTGGTAAATAGCGGAGTTTGATTCACTGGAGATCATAGACATAGAGTTAGACATTCGCATATCGTGTAGGAGACAGGCTTAGTCCATTACTCAATTTATTTCTTCCCCTTAAAAGTGTCCATTTAAGAGGATATCACCTAAAAGTTTTAAAACTATATTTGGACAGTTTCTACCAATCAGATTATACTACTTATGAAGTTGCTTAAGGGTGAACAGTATCACACAAAAGTTTGTTAAAGTTGTACACTTTTTATTTTATTAAAGAATTCAGGTTGTACGCAGCTGATGAGAACGGACGAAATAAAATGGATCCCGATTATTCTGCGCCAATGTTTCTTTTTTCCTTGTTCAAATAGGAATTTTGTTTAAAGAATCCATGTACCTATTACCAATAGCTCACGTTGACAAGACTAACAACACAATGAATGAAGAAATACAAAAGGTCATTCGTACAATAAAGCCTGCTCTGATTACAGGACTTGTGACGATTTTGGATTAATATCAGTTTTTCGATTTTCCCTACAAATTAACATCAGTTAGAGGTCACTGTGCGACTCTTCAGAAGCGTTCACCCACAACCGTGCCAGGGATCGAAGCCAGGAACTTCAGAGGTTACCAGGCCAAGTTCATTGACCATTCAACCGCTTGGGCTGAAGTCAAATGACCCGTGAATTCTAACTTTGTCGATTCGTTATATACCGTTACTCACAGTCAATATCTTCGACAAGCACCCACTTTTCCTCCACAAGCTGAATATCCCATTGGTCACGACCTTTCACTACAACTTCAAGACATCCATCCAGCAGCCAGCAATGAGCTAAAGATTGATATATTTAGATTATGGGATTGGGATTATTTCAATTTCTGTTGTCAGATTTCGTCATGAACGAATATCGATGGTAGAAACCAGAGTTACTGTAACCTGGAGGTCCCAGGTTCGACGCCTGACGTGGTCGTGGGTGCACACTTATGAAAAGTCTTAAAAAGTGTTCCCTTAGTGATGCCAGTTTATGACAAAAATCTAACAATCAAAAACATATTCTCTTCTACTAATTTGATTATTTAAAAAAAGCGCTAAATCGTTTGTGTTACGCATGACCTTGAATTTCATATATATAAGTATTCAAACAAACGAAATATGCCTACATCACACAACAAACTAAATGATTGGTTGAACAGTGTGTATCATTTGAAAAATAAAAACGAATCACAATTAAAATGTGAACAGTGAAACTGAGTGTGTGTGTGTATAAGTCAGTTTATCTATCATTTATTGATTTATCAAGCAACTCTAACAATGGCAAGCAAATATAGTCATTACACAGAAGAGATTTATTCGCCGTAGATATATATATATTCAATTTGTTTACTGTTTTTTTAAACTATATTTCTAATGCATTATTCAACGAAACAATTTGGATATTTCACACTCTTTACAATTATTGTATTGCATGCTTATATTTTTCTGGATGATGCAAAAGCATATCTTGTTAATCAATACTATGGAGCAGTGATGCTATTTTCAAATCTTTTCGATGAACCCTATCAATCCTACTTACATGTATTTTTAACTTATGCACCAATTGTTGTCTTCATGTGTACTATGATCTGTTCAACAATATTGATTGGATTATGGATTATTTATAAAACATTGAAATGGATTGTATATAATGCTTGGTTGGAGATATGTTATCCAGTTGTCTGTTTATTGAAGTATGTAATGAGTAAGGTAGTGAAGAGAATGACTACATCTCATCAAGATGAACAACATATCAAAGCTGAATAATAATAATAAATCTTGTCCCTTTGTCAACTACTTTCCAAACGATTATTATTATTTCTCAGTCAACGAATTAGTTGTCAAACCTCTTGATTACGTGAGAATATTCCTAATTTTTTCAAACATATTTATTATTAATCCATTTTGATTTGCTTTATTATTAAATGAAGTTGCGAAAAGAGGGGGTCTCTTTGCTGACTCATGTATTCCTAATTACGTGAAATCAGAATTTTTCATACTCCGACTAGTACTGTTTAACTAAATGATAAGTTAATAGAAGGAATCGTCTTTATTCGCCCTGAACCTCTTTCGCACACAGACACACTCTCAGTGCATATGTACATGTTTGCAAATACATCGTCGACTGCCCACATGATTTCATTTAATGTACGATTACTCTAAAAGTGACAGCCCACGAATTACAACAGTATTTATGTCATTATTATTATTGTTATCCCCTTGAGTTCCGGGTGGAACATAGGGCTTCAACAACCAATCTACACTTTGTTCTATTTTCTACTGACCTCTTCAGGTGTGTCCACAATCGCCTATAATCTCTCATCTCCTCCTCGCCATACAATCTCCTCCATATCACCCTCGGACTGACGACCCATTCGTCGCTTCCCATTGGGATTCCACTCGAGCCATTACCTGGCTAGCGATATCACTCGACAGTGTCCTCAATATATGCCCGATCAATCCATCTCCATTTTCTATTAAATATTTGTTGAGCGATCGGTTCTTGCTTTGTTGGTTTGCTCCCAGCCAGGGTTTCTTGCTACTAATTCTTTCTGGCCGGCTGGCTGGCTTTGACAACTTCATCCGTTCCGACTGCCTGTGGTTGAAACCCTGCTTCCTAGATAAGTGAAGGAAGGAAGTAACCTCGGTTAAATCTCACCCCCTTGATTGTGATTGGTGCTGATTATTGTTGTTGTTGTTGGCCGGTTATCTTCGTCACCTCCGTCTTCTATATGTTCACCTGCAGTCCTGTCTTCACTGCACTGTCTTCTTCAGCCAGTTTGTTGTTTTTCACCTGCAAGTCTTTGAGTTTGTGTGACATTAAATATAAATCATCCCTAAAATCCAGATCTTCTGGAGTCCTCTTATCACTGGTCCAACTTATTCCTGTATCTCCTTGACACGGGTCATGAAGTGGACGTCGAAAAGTCGTTCAAAATTATCAATAGGCAGAAGAGCTAAATTCTCCTTAAGTTTGCTGAAGCCATTTCCATCAAGCGCCTGAAACCTGATTTATGCTTCCAGAAAGAAGCAGTTATCAGTCTTTCTTTGCCCTGGTAACTAAATATTTTTCACCCGAATGCTAAATGGTGAAAAGTTTCCACTGTATATGATTATTATTGTTCGGAATAGTGCTTAATATTACATATATATATATTATTACTGTATGCATATATTGATCGATTGATTGATTTTTGTTTAAAATGAACTCTGTGCAAATATGTTAAAATTGTTTGTGTAGATATATTCAATAATGTCTTTGGTCTGTAAGCAGATAAGGAGAATGCAACGAAATAAAAGATGGTACCACTTTATTCTGCAAAAACTTTAGTTCTTGCTTTGTTCAAATTCATTAAGGGGAATAAATGTATGATATTCCTGTATTCTCACTCCTATCCAGTCTGCCGCATAATCCAGTCCACCATAATTACGAATATCATCAGTGATAACAGAGAACCCTGTCTTATTCCCGTGTGCGTTACTTCGAATGCCTCACTGAGTTTTCCCTTATAGATCACCTGACACGTGGCATTGCTATATGCTAGAGCAAAAATATAAAAGTTATGCAACATGCTTTTTTTATATCTCATATGCCTTTTTTTAACCAGTATGACAGATATGAGTAATTATATAATAGCTGTTTCTTTTTAGCATATTCTCAAACTTTGCAATTCATTTGGCTTACAGAACTTTTAAAATCTACTGTAATACCAATGTAAATATATAAAAATGTATATTTGCCTATTTGAATAACTCAATATGACCAACTTTCGCAGGATGAGATGTATATTTTTTATCATTTTATTCCTTCGCATTCTGAGGTGAATACAGGGCTTCAAGTTTGAACTATGAAGTTTCTGTGACAAGGGTGTTGTTTTTCACCAGGAGAGGTGGGATTGCGAGCCTCACGACTAACCTTTTCTCTTTATATCAGACTTATTACTTCAGACATCTATAAATCACAAAATAATCGAGCAAAGAATATCATATTCGATAAATTCCTCTTCTGGCTCTACAATCGTTTATATGTTTATATACATAGAATATTCTAGAATAGTAGTCAATAACAATATTGGTGTTTTTTATATAATATCGATTTATAAAGTAAGATCACAATGGAATTACAGATCATTAAAGATGCTTAAATTATAATAATAATATTAAAGATCTAGTAGCGAATAGAATATCAACTGATATTAGGGAAATTCCACAAAAATTCTGGATTGTTCAAACCTGGATGGACAAGGTAGTGATAATGTCTGAACTAGCTTCTTTTGGAATTAAATAAGGCTTGTTAATACGGATCCCAACAGCCTCAGCAATATTTAGTAGTCGAACTCTTAAAGCAAAATTGAGATTCGTGGGTATGAGTTAAATGACCCTGAAAGCATGATTAACGTCAATCCTGTGTTCCGTCTCCACAAGATGAGACAGAACAGCGCTTCGAATAGATTTTGTTTGTCCTTTACTTAACCACACAGAGTGATGTTCGGAAATTCGACGAGAAACACGCCTAATTGTACGGCCTATGTAACTGGCTCCACAGGAGCAGTTAAACTGGTAGATACACATGGAAGAGGCGAAATTAGGCAGTTTGTCTTTTATTCCCCAAAGCAGAAGAGGAGTGGTTTTAAAGGTACAGCGTAATTCAGTACCAGGGAATGTTCTCTTTTTACCGCATTTCTAAGGCGCTGTGTTAGTATCTCACTGGTGTTGTCTCCTAGGAACTGCATCTGTAGGAATAAGGCCTTTTTTGTAACTGTTGGTAACTTGGGCTGCTTTGGTTTCAGATTCATATTCTTATCAATAAACTTTTCAGGATAACCATTCTCACTTGGCAACCGCTTACTATTGTTAAGTTCCTCGTCAAGACTTTCGTCCGAGCAAATCTATCTTGCTCTGTGGACCAAGCACTTTATTAGATTGCGTTTGTATTTCAAGGGCACAAAGCTGAGAAAATGTGTGTACTGGCCCGTTGATGTAGGTTTTCTATAAACACTTCTTCTTATTGTGCCGTCCTCTTTCCTGGTCATAAGAACGTCTAGAAATGAAATACTAGAGTTATTTTCTTTCTCAATAGTAAAATTTATTGCAGGATGTACCTCAATAAATTTATCCAGGATGTTCTTTGCCTCCTTTTCATTCTTCTTAATCAAAAAGTATCATCCATGTACCGACCTTAAAATTCAAGTTCATTAATAACATCCTTCAAAGGCCCATTTTCTAGTTTCGCAAGGAAAATATCGGCTAGAATGGGTCCTAGTGGTGACCTCATTGCCACATCGTCGATTTGTCTATACAGTTCCTTATTAAATAAAAAGTGGACATTCATTGTACAAATCGATATTATTTAAAAAACACCAATATTGTTATTAACTACTATTCTAGAATATTCTGTGTATATAAACATACATATAAATGTAGAGCTAGAAGAGGAATTTATCGAAAAGATTATCCTTTGCTCGATTATTTTGTGTTTTATAGACTTATTACTGGTTTAACGAGTTTTAGGAGTGTATCGACTAGGGACCGAACCCCAGACGACGTGAGTGGTTGTCAAGTGTTTTTCTTTATTATAGCTTGATTCCACACCATATTTTTGGTACAAGTATGGAGTTTTCAGCATGTGATATCGGTAGCCCAGATTTTGCAAACCGATCATTGATATCGGTTGTGCGTTGGCAGGGAATGGAACCCCGGACCATGTGCATGGTAGTCGGCGAGAGTCCTAACTACTGTGCCACCGATGCACGCAGGGTAAAATGAATTCATTTTATTTCATGGGATTTTCGTCAGCTGCATAGAATCCGAATTATAATAATAATAACAAACTTAATTGAATAACTGGCTCATTTTAGAATAAAAAGCCGAAAATTGATCTAGTTTGGACTAAGTAATCAAAAAGGTTATTTTATACAGCAGGATCTATTTGGTTACACAGTCCAGACCGTCTCTAGTTAACTCTCACTGTGTTCATCAGTTTACATGCATATGAAGGAAGAACGCAGAGATGGTTGTCCCCAAGGGCTGTTATTGCAAATGTGTCCAATAGTCTACATATCAGAGCTTAAGTATCATTTAATAGCGCTATAGCTCGGCACCGGGCTCATACAGGACACCAGATCAATATGGTAGAATCGTTTACCGTGGTGAACAGTCAAAGGAATTCACGATCACTTCAAATTGTTGAAGCTATGACAATCCGAAGACTGAAACCTGAATTATGTGTACAAAAAAAGAGACCACCACTAACTTATTACTACCATCGATAAACACTGACTCGATGATATTAGATAGTTGGAGGTAATCGGCAGGAAGCCTTGGACCTAAGTTTCGTGCTAGTTGGCACTCATCAGCAGGGCGTATCTGCCACCTTGAAGGAACTCATGTCCCTTCTGAGATTCAAACCCTCGTCACCCAGTGAGTGCTGCAGTCAGAGACGTTACCACTGAGCTATTCGGGATCGCGATTGACCTCCTGTAGAACTGTAGTGGGTATTTTCATTGGACACTAGTAACTAGTGTGATGTGTCTAGTCCTTTCTTTGGTGCAGACTGAATTCTATCAGTCAGGTTTTGCAATGTGGCCACCATTCTAGGTAGCTCGCCATCACGATGTGCATTGATTTGATGATCCTTCAAGGTTGCAGATACGCCTTGCTGACTGGTGAGTGCCAACTAGCACGAAACCTAGGTCCAAGGCTTCCTGTGGCCGATTGCCTCCAACTATCTAATTTCATCAAATCAATGTGCACCGTGATAGCGAGCTACCTAGAATGGTGGTCACATTGCAAAACCTGACTGATAGAATTCAGTCTGCCCCAAAGAAAGGACTAGACACGTCACACTAGTTACCAGTGTCCAATGAAAATAAACACTGACTCTTTCACCTAAATATGTCAAGATTTCATTTTATTTTTTTTGTATGATATAACTCTACTTCCCTACTTCTTCTCAATATCTTTGTGTCCGCGATCTCTTCAATTTCATTTGAATAACTCTGCATGTGACTATATATATATATATATATATATATATATATATATATATATAGGTGTCTCCATTTATGCATGAATTACCCTTGAATTCTAGAATATTCTTCTCTGTACAATATTATATGACGTCTCTATTTTAATCAGAACCAATTATTCCAACTTCTTGTATAGTTTGCATATCGTCTCCATTTTTTGGGGCATGTTATTTTACTTTTATAAAATCAACTAATTATTCAGATTATATGCAGCTGACGAGGATCCTAATAGAGACAAAATAAATTCATCTTAATTCATTAAAAATGCCCATAACAAATTTAAAAAACCTGAGATGAATGAACAAAAAAATATTCAGATAAATTTGGTCAATTCGTGATCAGCTTCTAAATTTATTTTTATATGACAGTTAATAATTAAAGAAATATACTGTCATTTACAACATCATTAATGTTATTTTAAACTACATTAAAATCAATAATTACTATCGACATATATTGATTTTCAAAAGCATCAGTAAGAGAGAGATGTAATAGGCGTTATAATGTAATACTAAACATATTGAATATCAGATAAATTAAGGGAAGTAAAACACACAGAATTTATAAGCTCGACAGTAGTCCAGGGTTTCTTTTGCACAAAGAGCTCCGGTTGATTTAAACGAATTGCAATGGCCTCTGCTGTTGGAAGCGTTCAACATCTGGAGGATTTCGGTAATTTATTAGGGACGCAATAGATACCAAACACACTGCAAACAGCAGAGGTCACTGCTATTCGCTTAAATCATCCGAAGCTCTGTGTGCAAAAGAAACAGGTCCAATCAGCCAGTTTCTGTTGCTACCCTGGCCTGCTATCGAACCTCTATAAATTCATAAATTTTGTGTGTGTTTTACTTCCCTTAATTTATCTGATATGCAATCAGTTTTGTGTTATATTAAAGCATATTATATTAATGCAATGATTGTCAGCTCAAATACCTGGGTGAAAGCAGTATAATGGGTTCAATTAGACTAGCAGAACATAAAACCCAGCAGAGAAATCTAGATTAGTTGACCCTAATAAGATTAGAAACCTGGAGAATAGTTTAGCTATAGAACACTTCATGCAATTACACAACCATACAATAGGATGATGGGATAAGATGACAGTTCTAAAATCTAATGTAACAGGGTGGAGAGAGACGCTGATAATGGAAGCTTTATGCTTATCGAATCAACTGCAAACACGTGCAATAGGAATGATTCAACACCTGTCCACTTGAATATATATCTGGAAAATTCTACTACCCCTACGACGACAAATAGGAGAGAACGAAGAAAACTTGATACCAGAAAGTCCTGAATTCGGACCCCGACAGGTAGGTGCGTACTGATAAAGAGTCCCAAACTAGGCTGACGAAACAGTTGGCTGTTCAGTACTCCCAGGTGGTTTTCCAATGGTTCTCTAACTGATGTCAGCTCATGATGAAATCCTGTAACCAAATACCAACAGATTTCTCAACTCATAACAGGAAACATAAGATCGGACCATCACAGGATTGTGATACTTAGCTGAATAAAATGACATCATTTTTGTAAATGCCGATGTCGACCTCTAGATAGGCCTTAACGTCAGCAGCACCTACTAAACTTGCTTTCCTCGGTTAACCCTGATCAATACACTACTCACCGTGTATGTACTGATGGATGAAGTTCATGTAGAAGACCTATGCACTGTTGTATGCTCAAATATGAATTATATTCATATGTAACAAATGAAAAATTAAAACTAATACGTAGAAACAGTGTATAACTTATCTGTTAACAGGCTGGGGTAGCAAGCTCCAGGAGTGCGCTTAATTGATAGCACAACTAGGGAGCGAGCCACGTGCAAGGAGTCATGTCGGAAAAACAAAAATGGTGTAGCCCCATGGTACATAAATGCGTTAAAACAAAAGTTCAAACTTCTCGCAATATATATATATATATATATATATATATATTGGTTAATGCTCTTTAGATTGACAGCCAGTCTGTTTTCTAACTATTAGTTAGGCGCTTAGTTAAAACTAAACCAATGAGAACAACATATCTACACTTTTTGTGCTACTACTACTCCTATTATCGTATAAATGGCCTTCATTTACTACTTAAAACAATATATACAGAGAGATATTAAATAAACCTCCATTTTCCCTCTACCAAATAATCTAAATCATTGATGAATTAAAACAAAAACGACAACAAGAGCAACAACCAAAAAGGCTGATTTGCACTTGGTGGTTTGTGGTTGAGTTTTTTCACTGCAGCTGTTGGTTAAAAGAAAGATATACACATAAAAAGAAGAACGCCATTCCAAGCATACTACACAAATCAATCTATATATATTGTATATTACACGCCTACATTCATCTTTATAAAGACACACGCGCACACACACACGCACAAACAAACACACACATGCAGTCATTTGACTTTGAAAGCAAAAGAAAATCAATACACTAAGATTAAAGTTGACCATTATTACTTATCGTCATCATAATTATTATTATTATTAGTCAGTAAAGGATTTATTGACGCTCCAACAGTATAAATATCAGACTGATCACAGAGATTCAACTCTAAATACACAACTCATAACATCACACACATGTACCACACGACAACAATGTTCAAAATCCTCAGTAGTATTATCCTCTATTCAACCTTATTAATACACCTAATGGAGGGTAGATTAAACAATAATAATAATAATAATATGAAAAAGACAGCACACGGTATTGATGGATCTATACTCTTAGAATTACTTCACACTATGACAAAGACACAAAAGACATCAGACACTGGGAATTTCGCCTATTCATGGGGAAACAAGAAGACACTACTAACTTCAAATGATGATAATTTTGATGATTGGATCAATTATTTAAATATTTTTAAACAATTAATAAACTATTTCAAAATTATGAATCAAATGCTCGCATGGATTTTATTATGTTCTTATTATTTAAGTATTACTGTAATTACTCTGTTAATGATTAAACTAATTAGAAAATTGTTGTGTTTAATTTTTAATAGTATACAAAATTGATTACAAAAAAGAGATGGTGTTTTCTTTTTATGTTTTTTTTGTGTTTCTCCAGTGGAAGTTTGAAGTTTCAATAACAGTGGGGTCTTATTTAACGAGGGCAAGGTCGTTGTAGCTTCACACCCGACCTTCCTAGTTTCTCGAGGGATTACAACAGGAGAAAGAGAAGTAACGGTGTACGCTGACCGGGAGTTGAACACTTGACCAAGTACATAGTTGTCGGGCATTCTACCGCTGAACCACACGTGAATGGTGTAATTTTTCGCTAAACATTTAGCTTAGATTTAAAGCTAGTTAACATACAATCGATTAACAGCAAGATAGGATAGGAAACAGCATACTGTTTTGGCTGGAAAGCGCTCCACTTCTCAGCCTCAAGGTGCAGTACTTTCTCCATTTCTTTTCTCTTTCTTTTTGCATGACCTTCCGAACTCACCCAAAGTTAACTTCATTAAGTATGCTGATGATCTGACCGTTTCTGTCCCTGTAGTTTCCACATCGGATTGTTCCCATATGAATGGCTTCTTAGCTGAAGTTAAGGATTCGTCTGGCTCAAATGGTCTTAAACTAAATCCAACTAAATGTAATACTGTTGATTTCAGCTTGAGAAGTGAAAAAGACATGCATGGATTGATCCAATCTCATGATTGTTGTAATATTGATGGTAACACGATAGAGAGTAAGTCAAGCGTTTCTTATCTTGGCATTAGTTTCTCTTCAAACCTTTGCTGGTCGTCTCATATTCTTATAGTTTTTAAAAAGATTTTCTGTCTGACTTATTACATAAAGAAGTTGAGGCACTCAGGTATAACCCAATCTCTTCTCATACAATTTATTAATTCATGTGTTTTGCCCATCATTCTTTATTGTTCTCCATTATTCTTCCCTGGGCTACTCAAGAAAGACCATATAATACTACGAAGAACATTGAAGGCTGTAAGTAGGGTCAGTGCTATCCCTTTGACTCAACTAACCGACACTGTTGTCAATAGGCACATGAATTCTTGTAAACACTTAGCTAAAGTTATTTTGTCTGATAGTGAACATCCTCTTTATTCACATTTGTTTCCTTGTATTTCTTCGGGTAAGACCAGAAGAAATTTCATAAACATTTATGCTCGTACTCGTACCATATTTGGCACGAGTATTGTGTGGAGAGACGAATATCAGAAAAGAACTTTTACAACTTTTAAATCATTAACTAAACTATAAAATATAATGATGCATATTATTGCATGTGTGATTTGTTATATTATTTATTTATTATTCACTATGATCTAGCAATGGTGTGATTTTGTTGGGATTTTTTATTTTTCCTATTAACTATTAATATTTTTAAAATTTTATACATTTATATAATTATAAAAAGAGCTAAACCAATGCAATATGTAAAATGAAACGCTGAAAATTCCATGCTGTAAATTGTTATTGTTGTGGAATAAAGTGAATTATTATTATTATTATTAAGAAGACGACGACAGGGGGTTGGGGTGGTGTATCAGTAATCGCGATCATGTGAGATTGTAAAATTGTATCAATATTGGTCTTGACCAGTCTATCAATGACTGATCCCACTAGGGAGTAACCAGTGCCATAATGTGGTGTCTACGCCTTAGGTTTGAAGTGAACTGAATTCTGCCACTTAAATTTCCAACATGACCATCATGGTAGGTGACCCCCCACCCATAGTGATGAACCGCTTGAATTAATGCTAGATATCTGGACGTGCAACTAGCAAGACGCGAACAAGATGGGACACCCAAAAGATCCATTCACAGAAAACTGACATGGAATGGACAACTCATCAGCTTTCACAGTTGGGTGCCTCTATATACAAAACGAAATCTAATCCGCTCACTGACTCACAGAATCCACAACATTTGCAGTCCGGAAACTATAGAAGAGGAGCTGAAGACCCTGAAAAGAATCCTCCTTGAAAACGGTTACCCGGAACGTTTCATCACAAAAGCTATGAAGCCCAAAACACAAAACCTGTCCATGCTTACTGCTCCCAAGAAACTTCTCTATTTGAATCTACAATTCAACGGAGATTCTACAGCAGAAATACTGAGAAACTGCCTGTGCCGTTCACTGAAGAAAACCTTATTCGCAGCTGAACTCAGACTAACTTTCTCTACGAAACCAATGATTCGCACGAACGTGAAGGATAAGCTTCCACTAGGGGCCTCATCAATGTGCATCTACCGATTCACCTGCTCATGTGGAGCTAGGTATGTCGGCCGTACCCAGCGTTTGCTATCCAAACGAATCAGCGAACACTTACCTTCATGGTTTTATAAAGGAGAAAGAAGATCCCCCCGCCACAGCTCTATCCTAGAACACTTGATCGAATCCGGACACCAAGCAAACCCACAAAACAACTTCTCAGTTATCTACACAATACGTGGGAATCTTGCCAAAAGAGTACGAATTAAACTTCTTCAAACTGCAGAAGCAATGGCAATTCACATATTGAATCCTGAACTCTGCATACAAAAGAAGTTCGTCCAGTCACTAAATCTACAATGGTCCTGACCTATCTTAACACCAAATACGTAATTTTGTCTTACCTCTTTCTTCTTTGTTTGTCTGTTTCTTAATTGCATTATTTCCTACCCCCACCCTCTATTAAATCTCTACCCTCATGACGACTGTTGCTAACTTCATTTTCGTTTATTTTCAAGTGAATTCTACTCAGCTTATCAACTTAACTCTCATTCATTTTCAATTGAATTCTACTCAGATTATGAACTTGACTCTCATTCATTTTTCATTGAACCCTATCATTTAGATTACGTCACCCAACCTACTTTTGTAACTTTATTTTAGTTTCTAACCGATTAACGCCTTCTAAATTACGTAATTTGTTCTCAAAAATTAACAATTGCATTAACACATCTTTGGAAATATTCCTTTTGTTGCTAAGAAAAATTAGTATAAATTTGCGGTTTGTACAGCTTGAGAATGATATCGCCGAAAAGAGTAACTCTTTGCTGAACGCCTTTTCTTTTCTATGACTGAATGGGAATTGTCAAATTAATGCTAGATAGTTTGTGGGAAATAGGTGATGCACAAAAGAAAATTTAGCAAGGCAGGAGTTGGACAAGACTGCCTATTAGCACTGATGATATTCCCGATTCTGGCGGGTTGGATTATGCGGGACTGTGAGTCGGAAGCGAGAAGACAGGAATACGTTGGACCGATAAGAAGGTTCTAGAAGATCTGGACTTTGCTGACGACTTATGTCTAATGTCATGCAAACTCGAAGAATTACCAGTGAAAGCCGACAAACTGGCTGAAGAAGCAGCGAGGACAAGACTTCAAGTGTAACCTAGAGAAAACTGAGGTTATGAAGATAACCAACCAACCGACAACAAGCACCAATCACTAGAGACGGGATAAATTTGAAAGAGGGCACTTCCATCTCTTATCCAGTAAGGCAGCATAGTTCCAATTGCAGGTGGACAGCACTGATGAGGATGTCAAAACCAGAGTCGGAAGGGCAAGACATATATTCAATACCCTGGAATCAGTGTGTAAAAATTATGCACTCAGTATAAACAACAAAATTCGGATTTTCTTCACCAATGTTGAGTCAGTCAGCTTTTATACATTGGTCAGAAACATCACGAAACGCATCCCCAATAAGCCACTGCAAACTTTTATCAACAGCTGCCTTCGCTGACTATATGTTGAAGATCAAATGGCCAGGAAGAGCTTGCAACAAGAGACTCCGAGAACGAACCAATCAAGAACCTATTGCTCAACAAATACACCGAAGACAATCATTGGTTGTGAACGCCATTATCACCATCTTAAAATTTTTGTATTATGTAGGATTACTCACACTACCACTACAAACACCGCATTAGACCTGACAATAAAAAAAAAACCTGAAATGTTATTTTATGATTATTTAGTGTTGTTCAACCAAATTAACTGATCATCTTGGCGATAAACATCCTTAAATATCATTTCATAACTTCTTGTATGACTATAGCTTTACTGTCAGCATGCATAATCATATCATAGCTTCCACTACCCAATACTGAGATATTATTATATGATGTTTATTTTCCTTTCTACTTCTTGGTATTTTTCTCGCGTTTTTTAAATTTCGTTTGTTGTTTTTTGCTGTTGGTGTCTTTATATATTTTTTGAAATACTCCTTTTAAACGTTGGATAAAACTAAATGCAAATATTGTAGATATGTGCTGAAAATTCCACACTGTACCACTAGTACTGTTTCTGGAATAAAGCAAATTATTATTATTATTATTAAGAGATGGACTGGGCAGACGCTGACGACAGTCGAATAACACCGCGCGCCAGGTATAACCTCGAATGGAATCCAAATGGGAAACGACGAGTGGGGCGTCCGAGGGTGATTTGGAGGAGATCGCGAGAGAAGAAGATAAGAGACTACTGGCGATCGTGGGGCCAACTGCAGGGCACTGAAGAAAGCGGGGCAATGTGGAGACATATTACTGAAGCTCTATGTCCCGCTGGAAACCCAATCAATAATAATAATAATAAGAGTAGTTTGTGGAATGCAATCGACAGGAAGCCCTGTTCCTAATTTTCAAGGTGATTGAAACCTACTTAAACCAGTGGATCTAGTCCTTTGTGTTGAAGATTGAATTTTGTCCGCCAAGCTTGCAATATGGTCACCAATCGCGGTGCACTTTTGAATGATGTTACATGAATACAGACAATCGGTAGAAAGTTCTAGACCTAAACTTCAAGCTTATTGGCTTCATCAGCAAGACGATGCAAGCAACCTTGAAGGAACTTATATCAGCGAAGTTCAACTATCATAGCTAAAGCCACAGTGACCTTGAATTCAGATACAAAGTCACATAATTGTTAAAGAATGTACTAAGAACATTGCAAACACGATATTAAAACTACTGGATAATTGTCTCTTGAGCATTGTAATAATGAATCCCAGTTACTCGAAGAATAACCCATGGATAAATTATAACATGCGCGATAAATGTATTCACCTAGGTAACTCTAGATCATGGTACTTACTTCGGGATTCATTGACTCTATTTATTTAACCTACCCCTAAAAGTACACCTAAGTCTTGACCTGGACCCCAAACCCTAACGGAGAGCATAGATCTACAGGAAAAACACCTAGGGAATAAGTAGAATTACTGTACCTACCCAATCTCCGTCAAATTCCGTAAGAGTAAGCATTACCTTGGTTTGGAATAACCTTCCCTAAATCTTATTGGGTCTTGAAGGTCAACTTTTGGCAGACCTCTTGATCTTGACTTTACTTAGTTTAACCTCATCCTGATGTCTCCTCCGAACACTCACAGCACCCACGTTATCCGATTCTAAAGTTTAAAAGTGTTATATCAATCAGTCTGTCTGTTTTCAACATAGAACTTTGCACCGATGTACAGCAGTTCAAGTCGCTACATTCCATGTAGCACACAAAGCAAGAGAAGAAATGCATAATAGAGACAGTAAACAGAGGTGTGAGACAAAGGAATAGTAATAACGAAGAACAATATAGTTTCATTGAAAATCATAAGTCACAAGGAGTGCATGCATCTGCGCCAGCCATTGAAAACGATTTTGAGCCATATCACCGATTGTCTCCATCCATTGGTTTTTACTGTCCCGAGGACCCCAACCACGAAGTCTACATCTTCCTTCGTGGCTTGAACTGACTGTTGTGGGTTTCATTGAGTGATGAAGCCATGTTTTGGTTTGACCACCGCTAGCTCTTTTCCAACCTGACTCTATGTCAGCTAACATAGCCCTTCGGTTGAGGAAGGCGATGGCTAGGCGTGCATATGTAACACATGTCCTAACCATCTCAGTCGATGCAGCTTCACAGCCTCGTAGATTGACTTCGCCTTCCACCTACCTAGCACTCGACGTCTAACCTCAATGTTGTTCATCTCATTATACCACTTAACACGGGAGATAGAACCCAGGCACCTATGACCAAAGACAACTAGCCTTTTAATGTCTTCCACTTTCAGTGGCCAGGTCTCACAGCCATAAAGGAGGACGGAGTGAACTTCTGAGCAGTACACTTGCCATTTGGTCGGTAGCCCGATATCACGTCTACGTCAGAGACGGCGTAAATTGGCATATGCGAGACTAGCCCTCTCTATCCGTACTGAGTTTTCGTCAGAGATCAACCCATTGGGGCTGATGGTACTTCCCAAATAAGTGAATCGGTCAACGTGCTCTACCACTTCACTTCCTATTTCTAAACTAGGAGTCAGTGTAGTCCAGTCCTGTAACATCATCTTATATTTGGCGGGAGCGAATCGCATGCCAAACATTCGCAGATTGCAGCTCAAGGTGTTCAGTAGACTCTGCATTTTGTCAACGTCCTCGCCTAGAAGAACTATATCGTTTGCATATTCTAAGTCAACGAGATTATTCCTTGGCAATAAGTCAATCCCTGAGTCTCTGAAGTGAGTTAGGGTTAAATCCATTAGTACATCTATGATGAAATTGAATAGAAATGGGCATACCTGGCGGACACCACTTCAGATGACAACTCGACGTATGCCCTCACCTGGCTGCATGAGTTCGAGTAGAGTGCCTTAATCAGTGCAATGTATTTTCTCGGCATTCCCTTTACAGCCAAGCATCGCCAGAGAACCTCTCGGTTGACAGAATCGAATGCCGCCTCTACGTCAAGAAAGATAACGATTGTTGTACGCCGGTGAGAGTGCCTATGTTCTAGAATCTGTCGAAGGGTGAATATATGATCAGTACACCCTGTTTCTTGTCTAAAGCCTGTCTGGCTCTCTCGTGTTTGTGCCTACAGAGCACCACTTAGTCTACGCAGTATTATTGAGCCTAGGACGTTAGATACCACCATATTAGTCAAGTTAATCCCTCTGTGATTATCACAGGAAGATTTGTCTCCCTTCTCGTATATGGGGATAATCAGTGACTTACACTAGTCCGACGGGACTTCCTCTGATTACAGACGCTGCCTAGTACCTCAGTTAACGCAGAGAGTAAACTGTCTCCGCCATACATAAATACCTCTGGAGTCATTCCATCAGGTCCCGCTGCTTCGCCTTGTTTCACATTAGTGACAGATTTAGTAACCTCAGTTAGGGACGGAGGAACTGTGTCTATACCCACTCAGGGAGGTGTTGGGTGTTCTGCAGATTAATTGTGGCTGCAGGCCAATTAAACTGCTCCTCATAGTGTTCTTTCCAGTGTTCCAGTCGTTTATCCTGGGAGCTAATTATGGTGCCATTTTTCTCCGAGATTGTTTTACTTATCATTTGCCACCTGTTTCCCTGATTAGTCTAAATAGTTGTCTGGTGTTACCTATAGCCGATGCCTTTCCCTTCTCTTTCGATTTTGTTGCCGACCACTGTTCATGGTCGTTGCGAAGACTTTTTGTCAGTTTGCTTTTGAGAAGCTTTCGCTCCTCATCATAATCGGAGCTCGCCGGAGTCAGTCTTCTTGCGTGAATCAGTTCGGATGAGGCGGTAGAGATCCAATGGGTCTTACTAACTTTTGGTTTTAGCTTATTAACAGCTTTTATAGGACGTAGTCCAGTCCTGTAGCAGCATCTTACATTTTACAGGGGCGAATTGCATGCCAAACATACGAAGATTGCTGCTCAAGGTGTTCAGAAGACTCTGCATTTTGTCAGCATCCTCCCCTAACAGGACTATGTCGTCTGCATATTCTAAGTCCATAAGACTATTCTGTGGTAACAAGTCGATTCCTAAGTCGTTAAGTTCAGTTAAGGATACTTCCATTAGCATATCTATGATGAAGTTAAACAGAAAAGGGGAAAGTGGACATCCTTGACGGACACCACTGGTTGTTATCAATTCAGATGGCAATTCCCCATAAGCCCTTACTCGGCTAAGTGAGTTTGAGTAGAGTGCCTTGATTAGTGTAATGTACTTTCTTGGCACTCCCTTCACAGTCAAACATTGCCATAGTATCTCTCGATCTACGGAGTCGAAGGCCGCCTTCAAGTCAAGAAATATGGCAATTGTTGGACGCCTAAAAGTGTGTCTATGTTCTAGGATCTGTCGGAGAAAAAGTGAGACAACAAACGCAATTCACTGACAGTTGACGTATAATGCGCTCTCACTTAATATATATAGAATGAATTATATTCAAAAAGAACAATAGCAGAAGTTAGAATTCATGAACTGGCGATTGGATCGGGTCCCATTGAGTGGCTTAATCGTCTACGAGCTAGCTCGCCTTGTAACCTGAAGGTCCTGGGTTCGAACCCCGACAGTGGGTGTGTACTTCTATAAAGAGTCCCAAACTAGGCTGTCGAAACAGTTGGCTGTCCAGTAGTCCCTAGTGGGTTTTCCAATGCCTCTCTAACTGATGTCAGCTAATGACGAAATCCTCCAACCAATCAAAACACAAAATCCCTACAAAACCAATACTGGAATATTAGTTATAATAGTAGACAAACCATAGAAATCTTTTATTAAGGTAGGCATATATTTACAATAGGGTAACACACATCATGCTAACGTCTAAGAAAACATTATCATTAGTAAATATATATATATATATATATATATATATATATTATACACAACATATTGTTGATCATCAATGCATTAAAGTAGAGTAATTCAACAAAAGATGAACACTACTAATACTACTACTTACTGCCACCAGCAGTAGTAGTTATAATAATAATACACTGATCATACAAGAGATCCGTACACACACACACAAACACACCATTATATCTTCATCGTAACATTTCTTTAAAATTTTGCAAAAGACCTGTAACTCTTGTCTTATCAGACAAACTTGTCCCGGTTGATTCATCGCCCAAATTATTTAGATATTCTAAAATTCAATAAGAATAATGGGTAGAACAAAGTTCAAAACAAAAACACGCAAGCAACACACATACATACACAAAAAGAACAGAACTCATCCAAAATAGCCATTCAATGTTCAACAGTATTCGAGATAAATTCTAATCAATGTTTGTTTTGGAAATAGAAACAGTTTAGTTTACACTTTGATACTAGTTTTGTTTTTTTGTAAAATAGGCAGATCATAAACACGTACGAAAATTATATGCACAAGTGAATCAATCAAAGTTCAGCAAGATGATCCGATTCTGAGGTCTTTTTAAAAATTAATTTACTAACGATAAATAAGAACACACAATCCGAACTGATATCAAAAAAGAGAAAGAATAATCGACTGAAAGTTCTGGGTGGGGAGGGGAGCCGACGGTTTAGGATTATCCAACAGTCAGAATGAAGAACAAGACTATCATCATATCAGTCAGTGGTGAAGCGTGAAAATGAAAAGACGAAAAAAACAGACTGCCTTTTTAAACATTTCAGGTTAGTTAGATCATGACAAAGTAGGATGGGTGACTGACCTTTTGCAATTATATTTTAGCTGACAAACTCTAACCTCGCCTAGATTACTAGGTCACTAGTATTCTAGCCGGTCCCAAGCCCGGATAGAGAGGGAGGGTTGGGGCGTGGTGCTAGTAACTCCACCCCAAAAACTTAACTAAATTGCTACAAAAACTTCAACGCACAAACATATTAAAAATTCTAAAAGTACAAACAATAACCTAATTTTTCGTTGGAATCGGGGAAGTGAAATGACGCAGGCTGGTGAAAGCCTTCGAGAAGCCAGTCAGCCGATGTGCCTTCTTTCGATGAAAGCAAAAATAAGGATGGGGACGTGGAATATTCGTACAATGCACGAAACTGGAAAGGCTGCTCAGGTAGCCGCAGAAATGAGGAGATATAAAATAGAAGTGCTGGGAATCTGCGAGAGCAGATGGAACGGATGTGGAAGGTGCCAACTATCAACTGGAGAGACAATAATCTACTCCGGTCACCCAGAGGACGATCACGAGCACACCGAGGGAGTAGCCTTAATTGCGCAGTTGAAGCCCTATGTTCCACTAGGAACCCAAGGGAACAATAATAATAATAATATGACAAACTCTACTCAGTTTCAAAATGAGGGGAGCATAGACAACGGACTGACAATGGGAAAAGAGGCTTGGAAAGTTATAAGTAACTTCATATAGGACACAGTAGGGTATGATTGGTGTTTATTTTTGTGTTATTCTGAATGTTAATTCGGTAGAAATGCGCAAGGTTTATATATTTATCATACAAGAAACTTAATTATCAACAACATCCAACTTCTCTTCTGGCCATTCAAATGACAAAGTTTTGTTAGAGATTGCTACCTAGTAGGTATACTGATATTCATTTATAGGGCGGAATTTCGAATATCGTCTAATGTTCAGGAAGTTTTAAAAGCTTTCTTTCATATATGTAAGAATTGTTTGCAAAAATCTCAGAGAGACTGAAATAAGTAATTACTGGCGTCAGTTCTAGGCTTGGGTAGGTTGGAGTTCTTCTTTGGCCTATGCATCTACAGGCATTGGATGTGATTATTAATTCCATGTGCACTAGCCTGTGTCTGTTTTCTTCCCGATAGGGAAGCCAACATTGGTGGTATGGGTTCAGAAGAGCTAACATCCCCACCAGTTGTTTGGTTAGCGCTGATAGGGATGTGTTGGGTAAAAAATCACTCGTACCTTGTGATGCCCATGACTTATTGTTTGGAGACATTCTAAGTGACCTTACATGGGTTTCGCTGTATGCATTGCTGCACTGTGGTTTGATTCCCAGAAGACTTGTTCCGTATATTCTGTCAAAGTTTGTTTGTGTGTCATACTTTGAAGACCTAGAGTGGTTGGTGGCTGAGCTCTGAGGGTCGCCACTTGTACTTTTTGGGTGATAGTGTCACTACACCAGCCACTAGTATGACTTGGCATAGTATGCCAGCAAGTTGTGTCGTTATTTTCTGTGGACCCTAAGGCCTCACTTGTGTTTTTATTTTGGATGTTAGCATAGTTTTGAATATTATTCACCTTACAGCGTGGATTCTTCTTAAGAGTTTGAAAATGTTGGGGATTTTTCGTAACAAGTGGTGTATTTCGGCATGCTTTCTTACCGCATTCCGTTTGAATTCTCACGTTTTGGCTAGGAGAGGATGTTGTCAACTTACAAGAGGGATTGATTTCTGTCTTCGGGATATCCAGAGACAGACAAATTGATCCGAACTTTGGGAGATTGATCATAATTAAGATAGCAAACATATATATATATATATATATATATAAATATAAAGGATGCATTTTTACACTGAATTCCTTGTCCAGTCATGAATAGTCACCAAAACAGGGAACAAATTGCATGTAGTATGATCAAGATTTAACAAAGTAGCTTCACATTACTACTATAGGTCTATCTTTTCAAAGCGGGATTGTTGATTTCAGTCTCTCTGAGATTCATACAAATTTAATTTCAATGTGTGCAAGATTATTATGGGACCATTCGCTCAAGTCTTCATCAGAATTATTTTAAACTTCTTTTTGGAAGTTCCACAATTCCTGTTCGATCGAAACTTCTCTCCTAAGTGAGACTGACAGACTATAATCCGTATAGATGTGCGTCAGTGGCAAGGCGGTAGAATGCTCACCAACCACGTTTAGGTGGCCCGGGGTTCGATCTCCGGCCACCGACTCACTCCTTTACCTCGCTAAGCCAGTAATAAGGCTGGTAAAGAGGGATGGTTGGCCATGAGGCTAGCAACCCTATGCCATGGAAATAAACACCACTGCTACCGAAACTTCAAGCCTCTAGCTTGAAACCAATCTATGTTCCACTGGGAACGTAAAGGATTAAAAAGAAAAGGGTATGATAGGCTATGTCAAGAATTCGCAAAGGATGATGGATAATGACTATTATTAAGCAAAGCTGACTACAATTTTACTTCGGGTTTGATAGTCGGACATGATTTTCCATAAGGTGTTTTTAATGAAAGACTGTTTCAGGCCTAAAATAGAGGAAATTAAGAGTTACTATGACAACGAATCTCAAAGTGTGTGTAAGCATACGACACCTGACAGAATATAAGGTGGAAGAGTAACCCAAGATATCTGACTGCTTCCTCACCTGAATATGAATGTATCAACGAGACATCACTTTCCATCAAAAATACTAAAAGTCTCCGTAGATCGATACTAATTGCATTTCTTGACTTTGAGGTGATGTCCAACTACTTTGTTAGTTATGTAATTATATTATCTCCAATGAGAAGGAGTGTCAGCCAAGCAAATCTCTTTGTTAAAGGCTGTGTAACGGAATGAGATGTTGATATTGAATAATATGAGTTGAAGATGTCCACCCCCTCCCTCTTTCTCTCCATTTCCCGTAAAATGATGATTCACGAATTCATTAAAGTGTGAATCGCTACTTTGGGATTGGTTAGAATGCGTAGAGAATGAATTGTCTGGCTACTTTGGTCACATTGCTGAATTTATCCGGCTTTTACTGAAAGGGAATAGTATTCAACTGTCGATTAAGGCTCAAGTTTACTGTACTACAACTAGTGGACTCCCTTCAGTTATGGGACACTGTTGTAAGGCGTAGGAGATATGCGAAATCTCCAAGAATCTGATTACAACAACCCTTGACATACGCAAATGACCATCACTGTTTACTTCGATTTTTATCCATTACTAGTAGTAATGTGTGCTACATTTTGCACCTACATAAACAACCTTTAATAAGTGAAATTCTCTATGAGAAGGACTGAACTCCACACCAACTCACAAAAATGCAGGCTGGAATGTTAAACAGAGAGGTAGTACAACTTTTTCCTACAGTTGCACCATAGCTGTGCAACCCGAATGGTCCTGCATTTGTAGGCCTTTCTCTAATACAATGCAAGTCAAAAGACAACAGCATGTATATATGACTTCAAAATCTTTTTGAAATAATCAAAAGGAGTCAGTTTGATTTGTCACCTGTCAAGTGTGAACAACAAGTGAAGTTTGCCAACGATACCCAGTATCATCATTCATATGCAATTTCATTGCAAATGTACATTGATGGATGTAACTTTGGGTTACCTGAATATCGCGGGAATTGGCTTGCCACCCGGTCTAAAGTACACAGATGACTTGAACTCTAAGCTTCAATAATTAATTTTATCTAACTTATCCAAACAAAATTTGAATAGTATTTCATTCCAAGGTAGTAAAAAAAATAAACTAGTTCTGTTCTCGGTAAGGATTTAAAAGGCTCGTTTGGCAATTGCTGAATTGAATCATCTTCGACACAGGTGAGAGTGAGATCTCCAGCTACCTATCAAAGGTCACATGCATAGTTTAAAGCAACTCTCTTCTTCCTCACTTCACAGATATAGTCATTAAGAGTTGAGGGTATGGAAAGATTAGTGGATTTTGAGAATAGGTGTCTAATTTGATTGGTGAGCAACGTTAGGGAAGGTGTGATCAAGACACACTACGAATTTGTAAAGTCTTTAACGGCCGTTTTCGATCCAACCACGCTAGGAGGTGTAAACTGCCTGAACACTATATCAGGGTGTTGCCAAACGACAGTTCGCTCGAAATTCCTCTCAGTGAATTCACTCCTGGTCATCATATAGATTCGAGGAGAATGTTTAGTAGTATTCCTTCGAGTATCTTCCTTTGTCGTAATTTTACTGAACTTCAGCGGTCTATTTTCATATGATTCCGGTTTCTAGCAGTAAGGCAACTTGGATTGCTTTACTTGTGTACAAAGTTTTACGTTAGTCACTGAAATTCAGTCAAATGATAGAAATCTCATCATTTCAAGGAATTCAAGGAGCATAAGGAAGCCATCTCATGCTTTAGCAGTAACACAACTGCAATAAAATAACAGTTCATGCATTTACTGCCCATTATGAATTTGAATAAAGCAAGAACAATAGTTGGTGCAGAATAAGATGACAGTATCATCATTACTTATTTCGTTGACTTTTCACCAGCTGTGTACACAGTCCAAATAAATGGATTATTTGTTTATGTACAGAACAATTTTAACATACTTGAAATTGTTACATGATGTCAGTTGACGGGGAGGCCCGAATGGGATATAAACACAGGTCCTCCATCCTTAACTGAGGTTACAAAAGCTGTCACTAGTCTGAAACGAGGCAAAGCAGCCGGACCTGATAGAATGACTCCAAAGGTATTTAAGGACGGTGGAGACAGTTAACTGTCTGCGTAGGCCATGCTTCCTACCTATTTGGATTATTCAACAACGTACACAAGAATACTCAAGTCACTATGAAACATGAAAATAATGCAGTTTTATTGTCTTGACATCATCATGCGACGCCTAGAAAGAAGATGGTAGTGTCTCCCGAGGTCAATTCACCGAAAGCCTACATAGAATGGATAATACTTACATTTGTCCAAATAGCTGGAAATGAGCACTAGTGAAAACTATGTTTTATGGAGTCAGGAGAATATGTTCTACAGGGAAATTACAGGAAGATTCTCGTAAAGATGTTGCAAAATAACGGCTATCCTCAGAAATTTACTAACAAGTACGGAAGCTGTGAAGGTTAAAATGCCAAACAAATCACAGGGTGAAAAAAGCCCACCTTCATTCAACTCGACTTTAAAAGTGACAATTTTGCAGGAGTACTCAACAGAAGATTGAATACATCGCTAGGTAGAACCTATTCTGCAACTAAGTTGGTTCCCGTTTATCAAACAACATACTCCTTGGTACAATCAAAAGTCGACAGATACCCTTTTCATGTTAATTCTAACTGTAGATCAGCAAAGAGTCTCTTTCCAGCGGCGAATTCATTTTCTCAGCTGTACAACCGCAAATATATACATGGGTTATTTTGTATGTATGTGTACATTAAGTTTATGAAACAAAAATACAATTGGTTATACTTATTTTAACTAAACAGGTGAAGATTGGTGATTGGAGTTACGTAATACAAAATCAGTCAAGAACACTATCCAGCATGGTTGTGAAAAGGCAATAGTCGTGCAATAAGGAGTGCGATAATTGAACACCTGGTTAACACTGATCATTCCATTTCAGCAAACACTTCCTTCAAAGTAATCCACAGAGTCAGGAATAACCTATCAAAGGCAATACGGTTTCACCTTCTTTGTATCGCTGAAGCTCTGGCCATTCACATAGAAAAACCGGAGCTGTGCACACAAAAGAGGATTACTCAACCACTTCTGTTGTCTTGGTAACAGCTTTTTTGATTTTGATGACTCAATTTGTTTCTTTGCCTGTTCTTCAATTGCTTATAATTCTTGTATTCATTTAGAACTCTTACATAATTTCGTGTTCTCTACTCTGTTCCTATGTGCATCCTGAGTAAAACTCTTTCATCAAACTATTCATTTTATTACATAACTTCTTTTAACAACTGTTTGTGACAACTCATCACCTTTGTTACTACCCTAATTTCATTAACATCTAATTTTCTTGACTGATTTTGTATTACGTAACTCCAATTAGCGATCTTCACCTGTTTAGTTAAAATAACTATGACCAATTGTATTTTTGTTTGACAAATTTGCGATTGTGCAGCTAGGAAAATAAATTCACCGAAAAGAGAGACTCTTCACTGATCTATGTGTTTTGTTTTCATTAATGTCTGGATGGGGATTATACATGAATTCTAACTGTGAACACAAATTTACATTTATCTGTAGTAGCAGTTACAATGAGAGAACAGAGAGAAGGGCACTCTGAACAGGTGCCAAAAAGCCTACATTTCAAGGGCACAAATCCTTACGACAGTGTCATTGCCAGACATCTCATCAATACAAGTCATGAGGTGGACATCGTGAAATCCTTTAAAATTACCAATAGACAAAACAGTTCAATTCTCCTCGAGTTTACTGAAACAATCGCTATCAATCGCCTGAAACCCAATCTATGCGCTGAGAAAGAGACAGTTATCAGTGTTTCCTTACCCTGGTAACTGGATTTCTTTATTATTAACTCTATGATTCTACTCGGACTCTTCGCATTGTTACTCAATTGATTAGTTACTCATCATCTTATTCACCTCTTGTTCTTGTTACGTAACTCTTTTGCTATTGTATCCAAGCGTTTATCTTTTCTTTAAACTTGAACTTCTTGGCTATAAACTATATAAGTGTAATTTCTGAGCATTGTTGATTAAGTTTGGAGCCTCCTGTCAACTGACATCATGTAACATTTGCACGTAGGTTAAAATTGTTCTATACGTAAACTTGATCCATTTATTTAGACTGTGTACACACAGCTGGTAAGAAGTCAACGAAATAAGTAGAATGATGGTACTGTCGTCTTATTCTGCACCAACTCTTATTCTGGTTTTATTCACTGATTGCAGTTTTCGATCTAAAACAGATATCATAGGATGGTTCTAATTTTTTGTGATCACAATAACCTAGTTGAAAATAATCAATTCACCTATGAATTGTACAAAGGAGGCTGTAAAGGAGAAAAAATTAGCACAAACTAGACATTATGTGAAACAAACAAACAAACAAAAAATAACAACAAACCTTGAACTGTATTCAATATTGAATTCATTGATATGGATCGCATCCGTAACAAGTGGAGTACTCGTTCTAGAACCTGTAAAATTGATGAGTGAAAAATAAAATAACTAATAAGACAAACGTATATATATTTGTTGTTCTTATAAGCATTTGTTCAATGAAAAACATTTACAATACACCTAGTTCAATAATGAAGAAACGTTGAAAAGTAAGAGAAGGGACACGTCAGAGGCTTTAGGTAGAACCCTCAAAAAGGCTGGAATTAGGGTAGCATTTAAACTGACCAACTCCCCCTCAGAGATAAACTTTGCTGGTCTAAGGACTCTCCTGATAGATCCAATTAAGAAAAAAATACCATGTACCATGACTGTGAAGTCAATTATACTGGCCCAACTAGTAGATCAAGGTCAACTGTACTATTGGAACATGGAGTTGAGATGATGATTGATCCTGCTAAGGCAAATAATCTAGAGAAAAGCTCGACTTGTAACAGTAGAAGAGGAGAGAGATGGTAAACGAATGTTCATTTGGAATTTGGTATTTCTATATAGCGAAATTATGTACATTGATTTTTATTCAAATATCTAGTCAATTCCATTCATGTATATAAATGAAGGGAAAAGTTGTGTGAGTGTCTGACTTGATATGATTATGAGTGGCGATAATTTGTGCTCGAAACGTCATCAGTTGATATTACTGTGTAACACTGTGTGATTTATCAAAATAAAATCTTATCCATAATGGGAAATTATGTACAGCTTATCTTCAACGCACGCACCATTTGTACAGATCTTCCGTGTTGTGCTAACTTCTGTCCTTCTTTCGTATTGTATTTCTTTGTGTTCCTTTCACGTCTCCTGTGTATCTCAGCAACGCTGTGTAATTTGCTTTCTCTGACATTAAATCTATCTCCTTGCAATTGGATGTTTGTGCCGATGAACATCTCATAATATAGATATATACTACTGATAAATCTTATCAGTAGTACAAGCCACAGGCCAACGCGATGCATTCAATTGCATGTAATCACACAACAGGGTGGAATAGGGTGGAAGTATTAAAAAGTAATTTAGTTAGGTGAAGAGAGAGAGAGAGGTTAGTCACAGAATCTTTGTTCATCGAACCAACAGTCGATAAAAGATATTATAAGGCAAATTATGGAACCGCGTGAATACATTGTACTCGAAGTGTCACTCACTGCGTGTTATATCAAATAAACGTATCTAATATGGGAGACACTTTGAACTTTACGAAAGAGGAGAACAATATCCAAGTATAGTGTAGTCCCAACTTCAGTTGTAAGGAAAACACAACAGAACAAATACATTCAATAATACCACTCAACTATATCGTAAAGACAATCAACTACTCTGTACATTAGTACTACTGTACAACGAACTACTTATACGTAGATATAAGTAATATATTGAGCAACATCTTCAGAGAAACAACGATAGCTTGTATTTCAATAAGTGGTTAATGAGTGATTAAGCATGAAATAGAAATGTAATTTCATAATGAGTTTGGAACTAAGAATACCATGTTTCGGTCAGCACATTTAACGCCATTATTAGTTGAAGGTAACTTGATATTTAGTAAGTACTTCTTCAGCATCAAACTGTGCTACACCGACTCCTGCCTGTGAAATCATGTTGTATAGAACACCATCTAAGTATGTAAATACGTTAAGAGGGGTATTTTCCGGGAAAAATCATGGATTGGCCAATACACCCATTTCAAGTCGCTGGTTCCTCTTGCACAGAAAACGAAATCTCATCAGTACCCTGATATTTTGTGCTAGAGAAATCTGCACAAAGGACACTCTTGAAGATGAAATAAAGAAAATGGAAAACGTATTATATGAGAACAGATATCCACAAAAATTTGTTACAGTCTCCACGATGAGAACACAGAGAGAAATGCTTGCAGACTGTGCAGGAGAAACGTATATGTATGTGAATTTATCATTCAAAGGAGACACAGCCACTGAATTACTGACATCGAAACTCTGCAGAATAATAACTAAAACATTTTTGCCACAACACTATGTTCAAAATTCTCCATTTGTTGTATAATTCCAATGCACGTGAGCGATAAGCTACCGACTCTGGTCATTTAAAAATTTAATCGTTCTTGTGGAGACAGTTACAAAGGTAAAACGACTCGGAAAGCCCATCGTCGCCTTCTTCAGAATTGTCTGACGTGCTTAGGTGAAGAAGTCGTAAAAGCAATCAGGAGTTCCATAGTGGCATACCTTGTGGATACGGAACACAAGAATAATAAAAATTCCGCCTTTACAATTATATACAAGGTGCCATCTTAACTCCCTTAGTTTGTACACACCTTCGATTGATAAGCATGGCTGAGGCAGTTGCCATAAAAATCTTTCAAACCAATATTTGTGTTCAGAAAAAGTTTGTTCACTCTCTCTCCCATGACCTTCAAGCCAGAGTCAAAATAGTTAAACCATGTTCTAAAAATATCTTAATGGGAATTTTCATATAGTGTAGTAGCTTAAGTTTTCACACACTGAGTGTGACTCATATCATTGCGTGAAATATCAGTACCGAGGAAGTGAACTGTAGACATCACTCTTTGTATTATTATTATCATTTTTATTATCGTTACTATTACTAGTCTTACTTCTACTACTATGCATGTTATCAGTAGTAACACACACTCCACAATAGAATACAAGGACCCGATAGGGGTAGAACATTAGACCAACAAACGAAATCTATCGTAGTACCTAAAATGAATTTCCAAAAGACAATAACTTCTAACAACTGCTATTCTCATCTCTTTGTAACTATTTTGTCAATTTCGCCTCAATTAATTCATGTACGTCGGTGGTATAGAGGTTAAGACTCTCGCCGACCATACACATCGTCCGGGGTTCGCTCCCCTGCCGACGCACACCTGATTTCAGTGGTCACCCTGCAAAATTTGGGCTACCGATATCACATGCTGAAAATTCCATACTTGTACCAAAAATACGGTGTGGAATCAAGCTGTAGTCAAAAATCAAAAAAGAATGAAGCCAAAATGGTTAGTACGGCTAACTCCACATAATTTGCTTAATTCCACTGATTGTGATTTACTAATGACAGTGCACGAAGTTCATCTTGAAATCAGTCACTGGCAAGCAGCAAACCCCCTACTGGCATAGTTGGCTATGTGAAAGTATTTTTAGGCCATTTCGCTTTCCATGAATTCTTTCGGGAGGGTATATGGCTTCACAAGCTTTGGGTGTGTTTTTTTATGTAGCAGTGGGTGTTATTTTTAACAGCTTCACGACCAACTTTCCCTCTTTTCTGGGCTCCACTAAAGGTTAGGAAAATTAGGTGAGGCTTAGAAGTCCTGATGAATGGACAATTTATCAATTTTCAGAGCTGTGTTTCCTCTAAACAGAAAAGGAAACCTTATATATTCCCATTCCTCGAAGATCCAGAAAACATAAGTACTGAAGAATCTAGTGACGAAGAACGGCAAAGTCTCCGAGGAATCTTGATAGAAAATGCTTTCCCGCCTAGATTCATACACAAGAATCTGAAACCAAAGAAAACTTCTGAACAGGTAGATCCAAATTGCTCCCAAAAAGATGCTGATGCTTCATCTAGAATTTAAAAGTGATACGAAAGTAGAAATTCTCTGTAAACGGCTTTCAAAATCTCTCAGTAAAACATACTTTGCCGTCAGTCTACAAGTGACATTTTCTTGCAAGAATATAATCAACCAATGCGTGAAAGACAAGCTGTCGCATATACCAGTTTACTTCCTTTTGTGGAAAGCTGAGTACATTGGTCGCACTATGCGTCCGCTTGTCCAACGCTCTCAGGAACACTATCTAGACTGGCTGGATAGCAAAGAAAGAATGCAAGTGTGTATATGGTTTGGTAACAGAACATCTAGTGAAATCAGGACATCCAGCTCCATTAGAAAAGTCTTTCAAAGTCATATACAAAGTTAGATCAAACTTCTCAAAGGGAGTGAGATCAAGGCATCTGGATATAGCTGAGACGCTAGTAATCCAAAAGTTCAAGTTCACACTATATATTCAAAATAAATACATCCAACCGCAGCCTCTACCATGGCCATCATAAAAAGTCTTATCCGAATTTCTCCTTTATTTCTGTTATTTTCACGTTTTTAAATCTCTATTTGCACTACTATGTTTTTTTATCCAAACTTCATGTCTATTTTGTGATTACTCTATTTTTTAATCCCTAATTGCACACAAAATCATTTTCCTCAGTAATTATGATCCTACTACGTTTTTATCCAATCTTCCTGGTTATTATCACATTTTAATCCCTGTTTACAATTTTATTGATTTGACCCTTGACGGGAAGTAGTTCTGTAATTTGCTCACCCATTTATTATAAATACACGAATGTCTACAGTCTACCTGATGACTTCATCGAAACTGTCTTTTTTCATATCTCTTGTGACCATATGTGTATGTCCCGTGCTTAGAAGTGTATCAGCCAGGAATCGAACCCGGACCACGAGCGTGGATGGAGAGTATTTTACCATTGAGCTACCGACATGCAGATTTATACTTTAATATCAGTCAATCCAGTATAGTTTTTTTTAAATCTCTGGTATTAGCCAACTTTGTTAATTCTGAAGCAATTCCGTCAGCCTACTTTGATGCTAAAATAAGCGCGGGAGGATTTCGATCAGTTTAACCCGAGTGGACTAAATTACTAAAATAGTGAGATATCACAACTTAGCAGCAGCCATAGTTGGACAGATGTTGTCTCTGTAACAGAATAGTCGTTTGAAGAATCTGTAGCGGTACGTAATTCCCCAGAATTATTTGGCCACAGCATTCATCACTGAACATTGGATGCTGACCCTCACTGTTTAAGTCAATTTGTTTAGCTGAAGGCTTTCCCCGTCAAGCATCCACACCATTTGGTACGCCATCATGTCACGTTCGTTCGTTTGTTCGTGCACGATCCCTAGCTAGTTAAGCAATCATCTCGCACATCGATTTGGTCCCGCAATATAACTCGTAATTGGGACAGTCAATTCTGGTGTTTTGCTTTGCCATTGGTCTACGCTGTGAACGAATACTTTAGAAGTTGTTGGTATTAGATCTTGCGTTAGTAAACTTCGTACTATCCGCCATTGTCAATACCTTCAGCCTCTAAAAATCTTTCCTGAACGATTTAATCACAATATTTACAATCATTTGGACGTTTCAACTAACTCTGTAATTATTATCCGTTTTTCTCCTAGACTGTGTATCATAATTTAGACATTTGCATTTAACGTATTGATTTATTATTACTATTATTATTGTTCCCTTGAGTTCCTAGTGGAACATAGGGCTTCAACTACACGTCTCCACTTGCTTCTGTCTTCTGCTGTACTTTTCACTTGCATCCATGTTATTCCATATTGTTTCAACTCTTCCTCACACGATCTCCTCCATGTCACCCTTGGACGTCCCACTCGCCGCTTCCCTTTCGGATTCCACTTGGGCTATGGCCTGACGCGCGATGTCACCCAGTGGCCTCCTCAGCGAGTGTCCAATCCATCTCCACTTTCTCCTGCATATTTGTTGAGCGATTGGTTCTTGTTTTGTTTGTTCCCATAGTTTCTTGTTGGTGATTCTTTCTGGCGGCCATCTGATCTTGAGTATAGAACGAAGACAGTTAGTTGTTGATAAGGGTCTGCAACAGGCTGTTGGAAATATTCTTTGTGACCCACCAAGTTTCTGATCCATATAGAAGAACTGACTGACGTGACGTTTGTATTGAAAATCCGAATTTTGTTGTTGATGGTGAGTGACGAAGATTTCCAGATTGGTTTCAGGTTGATGAATGTGTTTCTCGCCTTCCCTCCCGATTCTCGATTTGACATCGTCGTCCGTTCCTCCTGTAGTTGAGACAATGCTCCCTAGATAAGTGAACGAAGTAACCTCTTTCAAATCCCTCCCGTTGATGGTGATTGGCGTTGGATGTTGCTGCTGTTGTTGTTGTTGGTTGGTTATTTTCATAACCTCCGTCTTGTCTATGTTCACCTGGAGTCCTGTGTTTGCTGCTTCTTCGACCAGTTTGTCGGTTTTCGCTTGTAGGTCTTCGATTTTGTGTGACATCAAACATAAATCATTCACGAAATCCAGGTCTTCTACGTTCTTCACGCCGGTCCATGATATCCCTGTCTTCTCGTTTCCCACTGTCTAACGCATAATCCAGTCCACCACAATTAGGAGTATCATTGGTGATTAAAAGCACGATGTGGTTTTGTTTAAATGAATAGAGGCCAGATTCTGACCTTGGACTGTCTGTGGGAAGCGTTGCTGTGTGATTCCAGAGGACAGAGTTTTCGATCTCACCTTGTTGAGAATATTCCACTTAATTCTCACGAACTTTAAACATTTGAGTTTTGGTTAATCCATATTGTTCCATAGTACTTGTTTTGTGCTTAGAAGTTCACCTTATCTGTATAGCTGCCTAAAGGGCAATGTTGAGGTAATTTTGAGCTTTTGAAGTTATTAGTATTGAATAGAACCACATAGATATGTGGCGAGAGAGCGAGAGCCAAAATTGTAAACAACAATTTACGTCAGTGTTTACTTCCCAAATCAAGGTCATGAAAAAAGAACAAAGCCTAACCTTGGAGAACTCAACAACCAATCGCAGAAGACCTGGCGTGTGCAAATACGATTCGCAGATATAGGGCTTAACTTTCTAAGAAACGGTTACAAAAAGATGACAGAATAACCTTCAGCATGAAAACAACCAATCAGAAGACGTCGCTTCTCTGCTAATGATAACGAATAATAATGTACATAAAAATCGATAAATATGTCTTGATTTTCTCAATAAAAGCTCTGTTTCCCGGATCTTGTCTTCTGTTGTTACAGATTTATCGATGAATAATCGTCCTTTTTGCTGTTTTTGGAGAGTCTTTCAAGGAATTTATTAGTCAGCTATACAATAGGACTCAGAGATTGGTTTCCTGCGTTCAGAGACCACAACGAGACGATTTTGATCGTTACAGTTTCTACGACAGCAGTACAAACGACAGTTAAGTGTTACTTACCTTATATAACCGGAAACAGTGGTCTCATCAGTGACAAATATATAAACCACAAACATAACATACACCTGATTACTTATCATAGAAAACACTAATGTGCTACTGGTATCATATACAACGAAATATTTCCTTTGACAAAAAAGAACTTACCGTCGATGCACCATTTACACAGACATCAAGGATTATCACGTCTAAAACTTGCAGAGGTAACAGTCCACCTTCCAATCGTTTTAGCATTAATTCAGTCTCGATTTCATCAGCTGTGTAGCCGATCCATCTTCTGTGGTTCTATTATTATTGATATTTGAAAAAAGAAATAATAATAACAATGAAATTATCAGAAAAAAACTAGATACATATTAAATTTTCTAATAGTTTTACTGCATATTAAACCTTAAATTCATGAGAAATTAGAACTAATAACTATCTATGCTTAGAATGATACATAAAACCTCAGTGAGCAGAGTTCACATTTTAGAGAACAATAATAAAAGAACTGTAACAATTATAACCTAGATAAATGGTGGAGAAGATTTGTAGCTCAGGTGGATGATTGTGATGTGGTTGTGCTCTCTGAGCTCAAAAATTATAATTTAAGTGGCAAGTATTGATCAATAAACAAAACTTTCGATAACTAAAAGATACTTTTCATAAATATCTATAGTGTTTAACACACCAATCTGTCTCTGTCTGGATTCAACATAGAACTTGCCACCAAAGTGCAGCAGTTCGAGTTGCCACGTTTCAAATACCACACAAAGGTAGACAAGAAAATGAGTGAAGAGAATCAATAGTTTTGACAAGTATAAGAGTGAAACAGAATGAGTAATGGTAGAAAGGAATATGAAAGATTACAGAGACTGAATACATCTGCACCATTGACAACGATTTTGAGCCATGTCACCTATTGTCTCCAGCCACTGAGTCCCGAGGGCCCCAACCCGGAAGTCTGCATCTCCCTACCTGACTCAGTTTAACTGTCAAGGATTTCATGGATTGATGAGGCCATGTTTTTGTTTGGCCACCACTTACTCTTTTCCAACCTTCACCTACCTATATCACCTAGTAATGCCCGTCGGGGGAGGCGATGGTTAGGCATGCGCAGCACATGACCTAGCCATCTCAATCTATGTAACTTTATAGCCTCTTCGATTGATTTTCCCTCTTTGCCCAACACTCTACGCCTAACGTCAACATTACTTACCTTATTATACCACCACCTAACGTGAGAAAGAGATCGTAGACATCTATGATCGAAAACAGTCAACCTTTTCATGTCTTCAACTTGTATTGGCCATGTTTCAGAGCCATAGAGAAGGACGGAGCGAACTGCTGAGCAGTACACACGTCCCTTGGCTGATAGTCGGATGTCACGCCTACGCCAGAGATGGTGTAAGTTAGCGAAAGCAGCTCGAGCTTTTTGGATCCGTGCTGAGATTTCGTCACCAATCAATCCGTTGGTGCTGACACAACTTCCCATATAGGTGAAGTGCTCAAAATGTTCTATCACTTCACTCCCTATCACTAAGCTAGGAGTTGCCATAGTCCAGTCCTGTAGCAGCATCTTACATCTAACACACCAATAAACATATTATAGAATGTCCACCCTCTCGTGCAACGGGTGTCAGTTAAATTTTCAATGTCAACAGACGCAGGACACACTTCGGTTCAATCAACTAACGTGGAAATCCAAATTGAGTTGAACGTCGCGTAAGTATCCTATACAAACAATATGACCAAGACTTGGCTGAATATTTGTGGAACTTATGTCATCAAATCTTGACCAAAAATCATACAATATTAATTGATCTTGTTTCTGATGATTATTCATAACTCAAACATGATTGAACCGAGATTTTAAAGACAAGTTGTACTCATTTTATATATTCCTCTGACATGCTCATTTTACCCCGAAAAGGTTTTGGATCAGTTCACCAGACAAAATGTTGGAATTATTTATTTCAAATTTGGCTGAGATTTATGCAAACATGTAGAATGAGTATTTATTTTCTTGTATTTAAGTCTTGACAATGAAGTTAAAAAAAAGAAAAACTACATCAAAAGAGTAAAAACAAACAAGAAAAAATCGACCAGCTTACTTTTCGCATAGCTTCCACTTTGTTATCAGTTTCTTTCACGATATCTATATACTTTAAGTGCAGTTCAATAAGTCTATCCACCTTTTCATGATCATTCTCTACAAATTTGGCTAACACACGAGATTTAAATGCTTCAGGACAATGCCGGAGTAGGGCGGAAACAATGCTGTGAAGAACAAAAAAAAAAAGGAAATAACACGAACAATATAAGCTGTTTTACAGCGACAGCTAAGTACCTTTTTGAAATAAAATATGAAGTCAAAGGTATGAATAAATGTATGCTATCAGTCTCTCCCCCCACCCACCAGCCTGTTATTTTAAATTTTAGAACTACCATCCAATTCCATCCTATTGTATGGTTGTGTGTAATTGCATGAAATGCTATAGCTGAACTATTCTGGCTGACTGGTTTCAGCATAGAACTTTGCACAGATGTGCAGCGGTTCGAGTTGCCACTACCTCTCCATATAGTACACAAAGGAAGAGAAGAGAATAAAGGGAAATTCAAAAGAGATAACAAACAGAAGTGTGAGGTAAAACGAATAGTAATATCGAAAGTATTATAAGTCACAAAGAGTGAATGCATTTCCACCATTGAGAACAATTTTGAGCCACCGATTGTCTCCAGCTATTGGTGTTTACCGTCCCGAGGACCCCAATCAGTCAGAAAGTCCACACCTCCCTACGTGGCTGGCTGGCTGACTTAAACTAACCGTTGTGGATTTCATCGACTGATGAAGCCATGTTTTGCTTTGGCCACCACTAGCTAACTCTTTTCAAACCTGACTCGTCCTATGTCAGCTAACACCGACTGTCGTAGAAGGCGGTGACTAAGGATGCATGCGTAACACAGTTCCTAACCACTTCAATCGGTGCAACTTCACAGCCTCGTCGATTGATTTCCCTTCCCACCTACTTAGCACTCGACCGACGCCTCACCTCAATACACCTGCCACGTAACACGGGAGATAGGACGCAGATACGTATGGTCAAAGACAGCTGGCCGGTCTTCTTGTATTTTCCATTTTCAATCGCCATATCTCACAGACATACAGGAGGAGGTGGGAGCGAAATTCTGAGCAGTACACACGCCCTTTGGTCAACAGCCAGATATCACGGCTACGCCAGAGATGGCGTAAGTTGGCATAAGCCAAACGAGCCTTTCACATCCTCGTTGAGATTTCGTCAGCGACCAATCCGTTGCGGCTGGTTTATGCAACTCCCCAAATAAGTGAAGTGGTCAACACGCTCTACCACTTCACTCCTTATCTTTAAGCTGGGAGTGAGTCAATGTAGTACGGTCCTGTAGCCTGATCATTTTACATTTGAAGGGAGAAAATCGCATGCCAAACATTGGAAGATTCTTGTTCAACATGTTCAGAAGACTCTGCATTTTGTCAGCGTCTTCACCTACAAGGATTATATCATCTGCATTTTCTACATCAATGAGACTATTCCTTGGTAACAAGTCAATTCCTGAGTCGCTGAAGTCAATTAGGGTTCAGTCTATTACTGCATTTATGATGAAATTAGAAAAGAAATGGGGACAGTGGGAATCCCTGACGGAAACCAGCGGTTGTCACAACTTCAGATGATAACTCTCCACTAGCCTGACTAACCCTGTTCTACCACTGTAACCAATGTATTTGACCTGACAATCATTGCAGCAGGGTATTAGATACACTAAATTGTCTTGTTTCATTGACTCCACAGGATCCACCATTTAACCGACAAAGCTTGTTTCTATATGAGTTTGTGGGTTTGAATGCCACCTTTTATTCCTGTATTGTTAAGAATTTTACGTAAGGTTTCCAAGGTTCATCCTTTGTATGGAAGTACTAAGGGATTTAAATTATCAGTAGCACTTTATCATCAAGCAACGAAAATTCTAGCTGAATCCATTTTCCTTTCGAAAAGGTACCAAAAGAAATCGACTCTCAAAGAAGAAAAAACTGTACAGTTGGCCTTGTAACTAACAGTGAAGTAGAAGTTGGACTGTGATTCATCGCCTAAAACATTCTACACTCAAAGCGTTCGAAGTCCTGTTCCACCGACCGAAATCACCCATTATACAACAACAGATGAGATTTGATGATATTAGATAGTTGGAGGCAATTGGCCACAGGAAGCCTTGCTTGACCTAGGTTTCGTGCTAGTTGGCACCCACCAGTCAGCAAGGCGTATCTGCAACCTTGAAGGAACTCATGTCCCTTCTGAGATTCAAACCCGCGTCGCCCAGTGAGTGCTGCAGTCAGAGACGTTACCACTGAGGAGCTATTCGGGCTCGTGATTCACCTCCTGAGATTTATTGCATATTTGATCCATAAATTAGACTGAAGTGAGTAAATCTGCCGGTAATTAATTAGCACTAGTTTTTGTAAGAAACAAATGAGTTGATCAATAAATAATATCAACGGAAGGCTATTCAAAATGGAGAGCCATGAAACTGTGACATTTGACGGAGAAAAAAACACCTTAACACAAGTATTAACATCCAGTATCACTAAGTAAGTAACACTCTCCAATGAACCACATTTTTTTGGTGTATATAGGCAGATTGAAGATACAATCTTGACTGCCCAAAATTCAACAGGTGCGTTGGAATCTGGAATCCGTGTATTCCATTGGTTAAAAGTTAAATGGCTAGATCAATGAGACACATAGGTTCAAGCCAACTTGTTAGTACTTATGCAATATAAGCATATTCTTGGATATCCGCTTAGCAACGGTTATTAATTATTATTATTATCTTTTCTTGATTATAGCTTGAAACCACACAGTATTTTTGGTACTAGTACGGAATTTTCAGCATGTAATATCTGTAGCCCAAATTTTTCAGGCCGACCATTGATATCAGGTGTGCGCCGGCAGGGGATCGAACCCCGGACCATGGGCATGGTCAGCGAGAGTCCTAGCCGCTGTGCCACCTAGCCGCTAAATGTCAATGGTTCGAAAGAAAATCGATTGTTACAACATAATAGAAAGTAATTTGGTGAAAGTGTGAACCTTTATCACAACTAAGCTAGTTAGAAACTGCATGTAATGCAAAAGTGGAATCAGGTATTACTACTACACTCTCAGATATAGATTAAATATGATTTCCATAGCAAATTCAGGTCAACACTCATCCTTAAAAAAAATCATGATCTGTCTATTCAAGTAGAAACATATATGCGTTCACTTGCTTATTTACAACACATTCTCTATAGACATTTATTGACAATTTCTGTAAGCAAAACTTTTAAGGCTGACGGTTCATAAACTCTTGCATCCTATCTATTCTTCTTTATTGTTCACCTTTATTCTTTCCTGGTTTGCTTAAAAAGGACTATGTCACAATTCGTAGAATGCTGAAGACTGTCAGTAGGGTGAGTGGTGTCCCAGTGGACTACATAGTTAACGTCGTTGTCGATAGGCACTTGACTTCGTGCAATAAATTTGCTAAAGGGATTTTGTCTGACTTGGAGCATCCACTCTACCCTCAGCTTTCACCTTGCATCTCCTCAGGTAGAACAAGAAGTAACTTCAGAAAACTGTATGCTCGCATGTCTAAGTATAAAAATTCTATGATACCATACTTGGAACGTATTTTATGTGATGAAAATAGTGTCAGGCAAGAATTGACTAACCTTTTTTTATCTAGTAAATAAACAATTTCCTCCATCCATCCATCCTTATATACTTTCAAGTTTTACTTTTATTATTTCTATTATATTTATGGTCCTGTTGCTTCTTTGTTTTACTCTCATAATTGCCAGCACCAACTTATCTCTATGACTGCTGTAATCTTTGTTTTTCCCCTCACCACATCATGTAAAGAGAACATTATATTCAATACTTTTAAACATGCTACGATTTCTATACCGCATCGACAATACTGTGTGAAACAAGCCCACGGAAATTTTCACTTGTATTATTATTATTATTACTACCTTAGCTGTTATCATTATTATTATTTCCATTTTATATGCTGCATGTTTTTGACGTTACCCCTATTGCAAATGTGGAAAATTTTCTGTGTGATTAATTTTTATTTATAATTTGAGGAAATTAGATGCAATATTGTGATTAATGCTGAATATTCCATTCTGTATCACAAGTACTGTTTTTGGAATAAAGTAAATTATTATTATTATTATTGTTATATTATAATATATGCTGCTAAGGTTTCTGATAATTATTAAAATTATGAATGTACTAAAATTTGGACTTGTCGACTTGAAACTCGTTGTCAAATGTTTTGCAGTACTATATTCCATGTGCACCAGTGGTTTACTGGTAGAATGCTCACTTACCTCGCAAGCAGCCTGGGTTCGATTCCCGGCTAGTGCACTTCTAAACCTCACCTAGCCAACAGTAGTCCTCGGGAAGAGGGAGGGGTTTGGCGTGTGGCTGGCAACCCTGCCGCGTACAAACAACACTACTATTACTGCAACTACAAACCTTATGGCTTGAAGTCTTATTTTCCACTCAAATGCGAAGGAATGAAAAAAGTGTTAAGTGTAACTAAGACAGTAATCTATGAAGTCACTACTAACTAGTAGTTTGTGTTTTGTAGCGCGCATCGTAATCTGTGAGTGGTGAGATGGTATATACAATCAACTGAATGAAGCGATTTCTTCTTAAAATAACTGAAACAGAAAGAGCATTAGTGCTGTGACTCCCCAGAGCCTAAATGACGACTTCTTGAGGTCGGTCAAACACTGTCTATTTGAGTTGCTTTTGGAGTTGTGTCTATGCATTAAGATCTTACCGCCATCGGGAGGTACAGTTTTCAGCCTCAACCTTTTCTAATCCACTTCTCAACAGAGAAGAGGCAGAACAACTGGCTTGTCAGTCGTCCGAAGGAAACACGTTACTGTTGTTACACTCCTATTTCCCAGAAGTACGACTTCCCCTCAGACATCCAACATAGTGCCAATGACTTACACTGCTTACACTTACGGCAACTGCTTTCAGTTTAACAGTTATCCCCAAGTGGCCTTTATGGTGTAGTTGGACATGCAAGAACATTCGTTTCAGCCAATATAGTTCGTTAGGTCATTAAAGTAAAAACAGAAGAAACCCTTACACATTTACGTCTTAAGCTAAAGATTACTTTCTTGACAAATACCACCAGTACAAGATCAATCTTCACAATTAAATCATAATGGTATATATAACTTACTTGATCACATGTTCTTCCATCTCAGCTGAAGTAGGACCACTAATCACCTTAGCCTTGGTTTTAGATTTCGACGAAGTGGAACGTAATGCATGTTCCCTTGGAGTATGCATAAATAGTGGGAAAATCGTCCGAAGACCTAGAATTTCAACAAATTTAGAACAATTGGCAACGACAACAGCTTCAGGATCAACAGATGAAGAGTGTGGCTTTTGTGGTAGTTCTAATTCACTTGAGGTTTGAGTAGCGGTTTGACTAACGGGACATAAAGCATAATCAAGAACACGTAGAGCACTATCACGAGACATGTGCTTTTCACTAGAATAAAAGAAATAATATAAAAACTTACGTGATTAGAAAGTCTTGTCAAAATGAAATATTATGCTAATGTTAAATGAAATTTTTTAAATTGAAATATCACCAGGTGAATAGAAACGGAAGCAGAAAGTCACTAATGTGCCTTGCTCCAATCAATAAATCAATCGACGAGGCTGTGAAGCTACATCGACTCAGGTGGTTAGGACATGTGTTACGTATGCCTAGTCATCGCCTTCCTCGCCGGGCATAGGGTCAGGCTGGAAAAGAGCTAGCGGCCGTCAAACCGAAACATGGCACCAGTCAATGAAATCCACAACAGTTAGTTTAAGCCAGCCAGCCACATAGGGAGGTGTAGACTTCCTGACTGGTTGAGGTCTTTGGGACGGTAAAAACCAATGGATGGAGACAATTGGTGATATGGCTCAAAATCGTTCTCAATGATTTATTATTTCCAATGAAACTATATTGTTCTTCGTTATTACTATTCATTTTGTTTCATGAATAATTCCCATTCGGACATTAGTAGACAAAAGACAAGTAGTTCAGCAAAGAGTCTCTTTTCGGCGAATTCATTTTCAAAGCTGTACAATCGCAAATATATATGGTTATTTTGTGTGTGTGTGTGTATACATTAAATTTGTCAAACAAAATACGGTTAGTAAGTTCAAATGAATTGGATGTTGATAAGAGGATAGCAACAAAAGTGATGAGTTGTCAAAACGATTGTTAAAGAGGAGTAAGTTTAGGTGAATTGGATGTTCATATAAGAGGGTAGTAACAAAAGTGATGAGTTGTCATAAATGATTGTTAAATAAGAGTTACGTAATGGTAAGAATAGTTTGATGAATGAGTTGTACTCAAAGGTTGTGCATGGAAACAAAATAATATATAGAATTACACAAGGGTTTTAAGTTAGAAAAAATAAGCATACAAACAGAAGTAAGGTCAGGTCAAACAAACAAAGAAGAGTTGGGTCAAATCAACGGAGTTGTTACCATGCGAGTAGAAGTGGTTGGATAATTTTCTTTTGTATGCATAGTTCTGGTTCAACCAACTGGATGGCTAGGGCTTCTGCGATACAAAGAAGACGAAATCGTACTGTCTTTGGGAGGTTGTTCTTCACTTTGTAGATCACTTTAAAGGAGGCGTTCGTTGAGATGGAATGACCAGTGTTGACTAGATGTTCGATTATTGCACTCCTTATATGGCCATTATTTCCTTTCTGTAGCCACGCTGGGTAGTGTTCTTTGACCCTTTTTGACAGGATGCGCGTTGAACGACCAATGTACCTGGCTCCACAGCAACAGGTGAACTGATATATACACATAGAAGTGGTCATGTGCGGAATCTTGTCCTTTGGGTTTCTGCAGATCAGCGGGCGACTGGAGAACACTATTCTTAGTGTTGCCGCAGGGAAAGTTCTTCCTAAAGAGGTGGAAATTCTCCTTCTGAGGACGTCACTAAGTAGGTCTCCTTTGAAATCTAGGTTCATATAAAGTATCTTTTTTGGCACGGATGCTGTCTCTTGCTTTTGGTTTTTCTGTTTGATGTTTTTGTCTACAAATCTTGGTGGGTAGCCATTTTGTATGAAGATTTCCCTCAGGAAGTTTAGTTCTTCTTCCATGGTGTCGGAGCTGCAGATGCGTCTGACGCGAGTTGCAAGGGATTTAATTAAGTTTCTTTTCCGACTGATTGGTACCCAGCTGTAGAAACTTGTTAAATGTCCGTTCCAAGTCGGTTTCCTATGGATTGACCTTCTTAAAGTTCCGTCATCTCTCCTTGTAAGCTCTACGTCAAGAAAAGGGATTTTTGATTCGTTTTCAGTTTCCAAAGTGAACTTTGTGGCTGGATGGCATTTGTTGAATATTTGTAGTAGTTGATTGAGATTGTGATCGTCATGGCAAGCCTCGAGAACGGCCCACTCAAATCAACCATCGACAATTTCCAATTGTACGTTAGATATGTTGACGACATCTTTATCATCTGTGATGACGATCACAATCTCAATCAACTACTACAAATATTCAACAAATGCCATCCAGCCACAAAGTTCACTTTGGAAACTGAAAACGAATCAAAAATCCCTTTTCTTGACGTAGAGCTTACAAGGAGAGATGACGGAACTTTAAGAAGGTCAATCCATAGGAAACCGACTTGGAACGGACAATTAACAAGTTTCTACAGCTGGGTACCAATCAGTCGGAAAAGAAACTTAATTAAATCCCTTGCAACTCGCGTCAGACGCATCTGCAGCTCCGACACCATGGAAGAAGAACTAAACTTCCTGAGGGAAATCTTCATACAAAATGGCTACCCACCAAGATTTGTAGACAAAAACATCAAACAGAAAAACCAAAAGCAAGAGACAGCATCCGTGCCAAAAAAGATACTTTATATGAACCTAGATTTCAAAGGAGACCTACTTAGTGACGTCCTCAGAAGGAGAATTTCCACCTCTTTAGGAAGAACTTTCCCTGCGGCAACACTAAGAATAGTGTTCTCCAGTCGCCCGCTGATCTGCAGAAACCCAAAGGACAAGATTCCGCACATGACCACTTCTATGTGTATATATCAGTTCACCTGTTGCTGTGGAGCCAGGTACATTGGTCGTTCAACGCGCATCCTGTCAAAAAGGGTCAAAGAACACTACCCAGCGTGGCTACAGAAAGGAAATAATGGCCATATAAGGAGTGCAATAATCGAACATCTAGTCAACACTGGTCATTCCATCTCAACGAACGCCTCCTTTAAAGTGATCTACAAAGTGAAGAACAACCTCCCAAAGACAGTACGATTTCGTCTTCTTTGTATCGCAGAAGCCCTAGCCATCCAGTTGGTTGAACCAGAACTATGCATACAAAAGAAAATTATCCAACCACTTCTACTCGCATGGTAACAACTCCGTTGATTTGACCCAACTCTTCTTTGTTTGTTTGACCTGACCTTACTTCTGTTTGTATGCTTATTTTTTCTAACTTAAAACCCTTGTGTAATTCTATATATTATTTTGTTTCCATGCACAACCTTTGAGTACAACTCATTCATCAAACTATTCTTACCATTACGTAACTCTTATTTAACAATCATTTATGACAACTCATCACTTTTGTTACTACCCTCTTATATGAACATCCAATTCACCTAAACTTACTCCTCTTTAACAATCGTTTTGACAACTCATCACTTTTGTTGCTATCCTCTTATCAACATCCAATTCATTTGAACTTACTAACCGTATTTTGTTTGACAAATTTAATGTATACACACACACACACAAAATAACCATATATATTTGCGATTGTACAGCTTTGAAAATGAATTCGCCGAAAAGAGACTCTTTGCTGAACTACTTGTCTTTTGTCTATTCATTTTGTCTCATATCCCTGTCTACTGTCTCTATTATGCATTTCTTCTCTTCCTTTGTGTGCTACATGGAGTGTGCCGACTTGAACTGCTGCACATCGGTGCAAACTTCTATGTTGAAAACAGACAGACAGACTTGCTCCAAATTTAAGAATTCCGAACAACCAATTTCATGACCATTGAAAACTATTCATGAACTGTTATAGAAATGAAAGTTTGCCTTTAACACATGTAAACTAATTTCGTCTCATCATCGCATGAGTAATTCTGAGTTTCGGTGGCGTGTGTTTGAACACAGTGGAGATCACCATTCATTGAGTGTTGTCATCTGGAAACACCAGCTTCGGTGGCTTGGACATGTGCTGCAAATGTCATCCAAGAAGCTTCCGTACTGGTCTCTGTTCGCTAGCCCTGGGACGGGATAGAAAAGGCGGAGGGGTGGTCAGTCCATGACGTGGTGTCGTGGGATGAAGGATATTTGTGCTAGATTAGCATCGGTTGGTGTGTCACGACTCCCTGGTTGGGGTCCGCGAGATAGCGCGAATCGATGGCTCGAAACGTTATCGGATATGGCCAAGAATCGTAATCAATGGCGAACGTGTTGCAATTTCCTTCTTTCTTCCCTTCTTGATGATAGTTAACGAATACTGTTTGAACTAGTTAAACATGATTGTTTTCCTTCCAGATGAAGTTCTTTATCCGTTTTCTACTTATATTTTTACTTTTAATCTATGTTGTTTTATTATTATTGTGTGGCGCATCTTTCTTGGTGCCATATTGTACCAAGTTTTTTTCTTCTGCGTTTAAATAATAATAAATAATTTCGTCTCAGTCTTGTAACTTAGTTACCTGGAACAGATTTCTCATGTAACCGACCATAGACTATACACTTACTGTGTGAGAGTTGATAACACTAACCAATTAATTGCCTGTGCTAAAATAGATTGAGAGGAGTTCACAAACCGGGTATTCACTGGTTGAAAGTTGAGTACTTGAGCCAAAGAGCTACACCTCTGACTCAGTATTTAAATGTAACGTATAATTTAGGGTGTATGAGACAAACAGGACACTCAAACCTACTTATTCTTAACACTTTATCACCTTCACAATTTCGAACAGTTTTACTATTGACTTCCACTTAATACTTCCTTCCCCTCCCCTCCATCCATATTTCATATCCAACCTTATCATATTGTCATCCAGTTTCTGATTATTTCATCAACTTATATTGCTTCGAAGTGCGATGCCTTGAATAAAGTGTCAGTGGTTCAATGAGGTAGAATGCTCGCTAATCATGCACATAGGATTCGGATTCAATTCCTGGCCGTTGCATTTTTAAACCTCGTCTAGTGTACTACCTAATAACAGAACGAGAAAAGAGGGAAAGTTGGGTTTAAGGCTAGTAACCCCACCGCATAAAAATAACAACATCACTCCTACTGAAATTCCAAAAGCGCAAGCAATGAGAAAAGAAAGACAACTTGAAGCGATACATGCTTCTCCATTGAAAAACGTGTTTGTTTTCTCAATATAATCGTGGTAATTCTACTGTAACGTGTGCTACTGATTAGATTTATCAGTAGTATATGAGGAGACGTCCATTGGCTCAAAAATATCAAATAATGGAGAAATAGACTTGACGTCAAAGAGAGTAAATGAACCAACTAGTGTATTGAGGCAAAACATGGGAGAAACGGAAAGAAGACAAAGAAACACAATACGAAGGGAAGAAGTAGCAAACAACAAGGAAGATCTGAGTAGATGACGATTGTCACATATGGCATACATAATTTCCCTATATGTGTATATCAAGTTGCCAATAAACATTTCGTTACCAAATCTCTTGTCTTCTCCTGTTACACTACTACATATGTGACTTATTATGTGTTTACCCTTGAAGAAGTATCATTCTTCAAAAAACCTCCAAAGTCCAGCAGAATAGTGAAGATATTCAGGTTTCTCACAATGATACGTAGTTATATTATATATTCATTCTTCCATTGTGAAGCGGTGAAAAAAACAAAATCATTTTCAGGTGTTGGTTTGCAGTGATTTGATTGGTTTCAGTGCTTCATCATGCACTGATATCGGTTAGAGGACCATTGGAAAACCACTTACGAGTACTGGACAGCCAACTGTTTCGTCAGTCTAGTTTGGGACTCTTCATCAGTACGCACCCACCGACACGGTTCGAACCCAGGACCTTCTGGTTACAAGGAGAGCTCGCGGACCATTAAACCATTGGGACCCGATTCAATGGTCCGTGAATTCCAACTTCTGCCAATTGATAATATGGCGCGACCACTAGCAAATACTATCGGAGAGTATTTGTCCTGGGTTGGAACCCCAGTGGGTGCGTACTGGTGAAGAGCCCCAAACTAGGCTGACGAAACAGTTGTCCAGTACTCCCTCCAGGTTTTCCAATGGTCGTTTAACCAATGTCAGTTGATGATGAAGTCCTGAAACAAAATCATTTTGTTGATCAACACTGAATTTAGTCGATATTTGTCTGCTTGATGATGTATCATAGCTAAATTTTAGAATGTGCGTTTCCTCTTAATTAGTACTATCAAGTGAGAGCAGACATGTGTGTACTCCGCTACTTAGTGACATTTCCAATGAGAGTTGAATCTAACACTTAAGCATACATACTCAAATAGCGCAAATAGCTTCTATTGTACAAAAGGTGACTCTTTTGTCTCTGAAGTTTTAGACCACTAGTGATAACTTTCTCATCTCTTATGTTTTTGCTGACTGCAACCAAACAAATTTGTGTGTCCGTGGCACAGCTATAGAATGCTCGCCGACCACGCCTCATGTGGTTCGGGGTTCGATCCCTGGCAACCGACGCACTCCTGCTCTACCTCTCTAAGCCGGTAATAAGACTGGTAAAGAGGGAAGGTTGGGCATGAGGCTAGCTAGCAACCCCATTTCCCGTAAAAGTAGACAGACACCACTGTGCTGCCGAAACTTCAAGCCTTCAAGCTTGAAGCCCTATGTTCCACTGGGAACGTAAAGGAATAGACATTGTATAAAGAAAGTAGCAAAACATAAAAGACAAACCAATAATACCATGAAAACAATGAATACTAATTGATTAACTACTAAAACGATGACTACTTACCGAAGCATTAGATTCATTAGTTGTATACCTTCACCTTTTAAAAATCTATCCTTATTTTCCGTTAACATTAATGAACTACAAAGGCAATCGAATAGATTGAGCATTAATTCAATTTCTTCACGACTATTAGGATCATGACGTTTATAAACAGATAATTGTTGAAGAAGAATATCAATTCCATCGACTTCACCAAGTTGACGACGATTAGCTTCATCCATTTGAAGAAGTATAGAGAGTAATTCACTCACGTATAATTTATTCTTATCAAATATAGGACGTCTTTGTAAACGTCGAAGTAGCCAAGCAAACAGACCTTGATTTGCCATGATAACATTCATATCTGGACGAATTTCTAGTAAACTTTCAATAATTCCTTTTAAAACAAAAAAAACATCAAAAATAAATACAGTGAAATAAAGCAAAATCATCTTCAAGTGTTGGCTTGGAGGGATTTGATTAGTCTCAGGATTTCACCATGAACTGATATCGGTTAGAGGACCAGTGGAGAACCCCCTACGAGTACTGGACAGCTGTTTCGTCCTAGTTTGGGACTCTTCATCAGTACATACCCATTGAGTTACATGAGTTACACGGTGACCTGCTGGGCAACTAGAATTTCCATTCATCAAAATGCTCAAGCTCTTCTGCATTTCTTATTGTTTTATTCATGAAACTATATCAGATGGTCACTACATGAACTGACGCACATATTTAGTTAGCTTTCAATAAAAACGTTGTGCAATTCTTGAAGGAAATGAAGAAAATAAGAGCAAAATTGGTTCTTTCTTCGTATGGAACAACACTACGTCACGTGATACACTTCAGATTATTACTTTACATCTAGATCCTGCATGGAGACGAAATATTTTGGAACTAAATACGCTGAAAATTTCTGTACTGTGTTCACATATTGTCTGAAATAAAGCTTTATTATTATTACGTAATCAAAGCAATTTCTTCACATATACAATGTCTTCCTGTACAACATCTACTTTTTTATTCCTTCACGTTCCCAGTAGAACATAGGGCTTCAAGCTAGAGGCTTGAAGTTTCTGTAGCAGTGTTTATTTTTTTTACAGGATGGGGTTGCTAGCCTCATGCCCAACCTTTCCTCTTCACCAGCTTTTAGTTCTGGCTTAGCGAAGTGAAGGAGTGCACCGGCCGGGGATCGAACCCCGGACCATGTGCATGGTCGGCGAGCGTCCTAACCGCTATGCCACCGACGCACGTACAACATCTATCCTCACAGTGAAGATAGAGCTTATTCGGAGTACAGTAACTTAAACTTATACATAGGTTGATAAGTACTTACGTTGATCAATCAGTCGTCAGTAACTAGCCTTTCAAATGAAGTCGTGACTGGTGAGATCCATCAAATAGGATGTAAGGAAATAAAAGGAAATAAACCGATGATCGACCAATCAGATTTTTTCTGTATTAACACTGTAACTAACAATTAGGATGAGAAATGGTCTATTAAGTTTCTTTGTGTTAATAAGCACCATTAAAGGTTGGTTTTATATACTTGTTATTGTATTCAAATACACAGAAATGATTGTATTTCAATTCTACATCAATAATAATCTTATTTATGGTTAGTTACCTATTTATGTTTCAAGTTTAGTCGCGGACCGATATCAGTTAGAGAACCATCGAAAACCAGCTAGGAGTACTGGACAACTAGCTGTTTCTTCCTAGTTTCGGACTCATTGCCAGTAGGCACTCACCGCCAGGGTTCGAACCGAGGACCTTCCGGTTACATGGCAAGCTCGTAGAACATTAAGCCACCGGGACCCAACTCAACGGCCAGCCCATGAATTCTAAGTTCTACTAATTCGCGATTTTAGCATGGCTGGCACTAGTAACTGTCATCGGCGAGTATTTGTCCTAACCCCCGACCGGGTGGACCAAATTGGTCACTAAAACTCCAATCAACTTCGTCCTGCAGCCAGTCACTAGCCAGCATCGGTTGGGTCCCAATGGCTGAATTACTTATGAGCTCACCTTGTAAGTGGAATGTTCTGGGTTCCAACCCCGGTGGGTGAGTACTGATGAAGAGTCCCAAAACTAGGACGAATCAACTGTCCAGTACTCCCTGGTCTTCAATGTTTTCCTAACAAATCAAATCCCTACAACAAACTTGAGTATATTTACTTGTTGCATTTGTTTGAAGGAGCGATCAACATATCTGATATATTCAATCTCCTGTACTCTTCTTTACACATTTCAAAATGATTCAGACTACACATGATGCTTCTCACACTTGAAGATGCTTTGTGTATCTTTACCTCTTTTTACACCAACGTCGTATCAAGTCAAGGGTTGTGGAGGCAGAAGTGTTTATCACTCAAATCTGGATTTGATTTACGTTGTGGACATGAAATAACGTCATTGGATAATTTGTTTAACCTTGGGTAGATAGCCAACCGATCAAAGCTGGCCAAGCCGAAGATTACTTTGGCTAAGATTGTATAAATATGTGTTTCAGGAGTTCATCATGAGCTGCCATCGGTCAGGGAACCATTGGAAAACCTGGGAGTACTGGATAGCTGTTTCTTTCTAGTTTGGGACTCCTCATCAGTGCACACCCACCAGGGTTCAAACCCAGGACCTTCTGGTTACAAGGCCACTAAGCCACTGGGACCTGATTCAATGACTCATGAACTCCAACTTCTGCCAATTTACGATGCTCACTAGCGACTCTATTCACGTGGGTTCTAGTGGGAAGTCATGACCAGTGGGGTACAGCAGGTCAGGTGTGAGGACAAACAATCGTCGATTATATCGGCTATTGGTTGCGCTACATCGTTAATTGGAAGAAGTTGGAATTCATGGGCTGGTTACTGGCTGAATAGTCTACTAGCTCATCTTGCGACAGGAAGGTCGTGGGTTCCAACCCCGGTGGGTGCGCACCGGTGAAGAGTCTCAGACTAGGATGAAGCAGCTATCCAGTACTCCCAGGTTTTCCAATGGTTCTCTAACCGATATCAGCTTATGATGAAATCCTGAGACCAGTTAAATGCCTGCAAACTAGTATGATGTGTTTTTCCTCAGTAAAAGTCTGCTACCACGTTTCTCATCATCTGCCGTTACAGAATCATCACATAGAATGAGTACAAATTATAGTCGGGAACTTGAATGACATATTTTGGAAATTCAGTTTAGAAAACATGCAGTGAGAATGCACTTAGCATATTAACAAATAATAAAACATAACAAGAATGTTAAACTCACCAAGTGTTTTGTGTACACCATCAGCTTCATCTTTTTTTGTCTCATCTAAACGTGCAATATTTTGTATAAGTGATTGAATTAATTGTCCAGAGAATAAAACTTCTAGGAATGTATTCACTTTACCCAAACCAGCTTCTTTTAAACAAGTTGGTTCAAGTAATTCATGGAGTAGATCAATTACTGATAAACTGATATCTGTATTTTCATGGGATAATAATCCCAACAATAAAGATATAGGACGTGTTTGTTCTGCTAAGATTGGATATAATTCAGGATTTGCTGCAAGAATCTAAAAAAAAATAAGTGGAAATGTATAGAATGAAAATGATGTGATTTACAACTGGAGAAAGTAGATAAGTTAAATGATTCCTTTGGACAAGAATTGGTGTAGATGCGGTTCGCGCTATCAGACTGACATAGTGAAACAGTGTGTATCTATTCAAACTGTAACATACCAACTAGTACAATAAGATAAAGTAGCCATAAGAGCAGACGGAGGATAATTGGGAACATGGAGTGTACAGGAACTCAACGATATCATATCTGACCAGCGTCCTCTATGTGATAGAGATAATGTTAAGCGCGAAACCTACGACTTACTATGTCATTAGCAAGATATTTGGCTATTTTATTATTATTATTGTTTCCTTTAATAGGGCTTCAGCCGTGCGTCTCCATTGCGTTCGGTTCTCTCCTAGAGTCTTCACCTGGCTCCAAGTCTGCCTACACGTTTTCATCTCCTCTTCACATGACCTCCTCCAAGTCACCCTTGCACTGACAACCACCTCACCGCTTCTCTTTCGGGTTCCACTCGAGCAATGGCTTGTCTAGTGATGTCACTTGATGGTTTCCTCAGAGTATGGCCAATCGATCTCCATTTCCTTCTGCCTATTTGTTTCACAATCGGTTCCTGGTTGGTTCGCTCCCAGAGATCTCTGTTGCTGATCTTTTCTGGCCATCTCATCTTGAGTATTGGGCGAAGACAACTGTTAATGAAGGTCTGGAGTTTGTTTGAGATGCTGTTTATGACGCGCCAAGTCTCTGATCCCTAAAGTAGCACTGACTGACTTCACATTGGAGTTGAAAATCCGGATCTTATTTTTGATGCTGAGTGCTGTTGACCCCCACACAGCACACACACCTCTTTTATTGTCTCTTATTTGTAATTTATGGCGATACTATTTCAATAACTTATAATTTTGTGTACTAACATTATTATTATTATCATCATCATCATCATCATCAGTTTACACTTTTTGTACATTTTTGACTTTATTGTCACTGATAATACAAGAAAGCTGCTATTGTTATTATTTTGGCTCTTGTCGAGTAAATTAGATGCACTGTGGTACCAAATGCTGAGAGTTCCACACTGTACCATAAGTACCATTTGCGAATAAGGCAAATTATAATTATTGTTATATAAAAATCCAGACTCTAGAAGACCTGGATTTCGCAGATGATATATGTCTATTGTCACACAAACTCCAAGAATTGCAGGCGAAAACCAACAAACTGGCTGAAGAAACAGGCAACGAAGACTGGACTTCAGGTGAACATAGAGAAGACGGAGGTGATGAAGATAACCAACCAACCACTACCAACAGCGACAACAACCAGCACCAATCAGCATCAACGGGAGAGATTTGAATAGTCATTTCCTTCACTTATACGGCTAGGAAGCACGCTTTCAACCACAGGCAGTGGGAACGGACGAAGATGTCAAAGCCAGCCAGCGAGAATCGGAAAGGCAAGATATGCTTTCATCAACCTGAAATTTTGAAATCTTCTGCACTCTGTGGTATTGAGAACAAGATTCGGATTTTCAACACAAATGTCAAGTGAGTCAGTGCTTCTATACGCGTCAGAAACTTGCACTGCGTGTCGCGAAAATGATTTCCAACAAGTTACAGACTTGTACCAACAACTGCCAATTTCGCTGACTCCATACTGAAGATCAGATGACCGATCGGAAAGGATTAGCAGCGAGAGACTATAGAAACAAACCAACCAAGAGCCGATTGCTCAACAAATATGTAGGAGAAAATAGAGATGGATTGGGCATGCATTGATAAGGCAATCGAATGACAATGCGTGTTAGGCACTCGAGTAGAATCCCGATGGGAAGCGACGAGTGGGTCGTCAGTGCGAGGGTGACATGGAGGAGATCGTGTGATGAGGAGGAGATGAGAGATTGTAGGCAATCGTGAAGCCACCTGAAAATGACAACACCAAATACAACAAAGTGGGGATGTATCGTTGAAGTCTTACGTTCCACTCGGAACCCAAGGGAATGATAATAATAATTAAAATAATAAAATATAAAAATCCAGCATTTAAAGCTACAGAAACTGATGTGTAGATACAACTGAAGATGGAGCGCGGATTCCAAGTTCACTTTACTTATTTTAGTTTACACATACTAAGCGCAACATAGACGTGCACCATATTGGTTAATTTATTATATATCAACTTATAGATATCTATAAGCAAGTCTGAAACATACACAATCCATAGTAGATGATTTCATAGAAGTGTGCTGGTTTAATAAAGCTAAGATTTCTATTGCACGAACCCTACAATTAAAAGAATAAAAATGTCAGAGCAGGTAATGACTCGGTATGTAATATATTTCTGCTCCCTTCTTGATGAATGAGGCTTCTACCTTTATAAGTTATAATGTCTTCCTTGAGTAAACCAGTGACGCATTGTAACTCTATTGACTGATTTGTTGCATACCAATGTGCAGCTTTTCACAAACATGCAACAGCTCACTTTGTCACACTTCCGGAAAGCACATAAAAGTACAGAAAAAAACAACATTATGAAATCACAACAGAGGAAAATGTACGTGGGAGAATTAAATGAACACTCAGACTTCAGAAAATGAAAAAGGTGTGTACATCTGCTCCATGCCATAGTCTCTAGCCAGTGATTCTTAGTATCACCGTTCATGCTATCGGATGAATCCGATTCTACTGACATCTAAAAAGCCTTTCTGGACTAGTTGGGACATGAAGGAATAAGTAGCAGAGGTAAAAAAGACACAACGACATAGGTTAATCCATTTACGAAAATAAAACATTACTCATGTAATAAGACAGCATATATGCAAGCGGATAATAGAAAAGTCACATTGTATGAGGCTAGTGAGCTACCTATAATAAACCATCAGAGCTTTTCTATACCACAACTCCATCTCAAATGTCAACAAGGTCTTATCTGTAATAAACAGGTACGATCTCTACTTCTTTCGAATTGAATTCTTCCAGTGCACACAGGAAAGCATTACCAAGAAGGAGAACTGAGCAGTCACAAGTAAATGAAGCTTTTCTGACAACTGATTTCAGATAGTCGCAATCACAATTTTCTAATTGCCTTGAGAACATGAAATACTTCCGCCACGGTATTCACTACAGTATATAAAACACATGAGACCTGACATTTGGCTGCGGTCTATACAGTTACTATGGCAATACAAGTAATTAATTCAAAATTCTATGAATTTTCATTTGGAAAGGAATTCATAGCATTATCATTTACGTTTTACAGTTAGAGACTAACCTGCATTTCTTCAAGTGTTTCCTGAAGTTCCACTTCCGACTGCATAAAACGCTTTGGTTGATCAGGGAACTTAGTTCGTGCTTCTTGATTGGTTAGAGCACGTTTTTCAAGAAGTACAGTAAGTCGACGAACAGTAGTTTCAGTAACTTCATTTGCTCCGACAGTTGTAGGCTCGTTACTTATTTCAAGATCCAATGAATCTGATACACTTAGTGTAAGCGGAGCATCTATAAAATCAAAAGTAGTAAGAAATATTTGTTACACAGATAACATTTGACAACCTAAAGATTTTATACAATTAAGTCTACTACACTTCACTTAATGAAAAGCACAGTGAGGATCAGTATAGTGCAGTCGTACTTACCAGACGATAGTCAATATCTTCGTGGCTGAGGACACTACATGTCCAATAAGAAGGAATGTAATGAAAAATACAGTCGGCTAATACATACAGCAGAATAAACACATGAAGATCAGTGATTCTCAGATTGTGGAAAATGAGTGTGAATACACCCGCACCAAGTCAAACGATTTGGAACCCATCAATGCATCGGTGGCATAGCGGTTAGGACGCTCCATCGGGTTGGTGTAAGTCACTGATCATCCCGATATACAAGAAGGGGGACAAGTCGTCTTGTGATAATCACAGAGGGATTAGCTTGACTAATATAGTATCTAAAATCCTAGGCTCAATAATACTGCGTAGACTAAGTGGTGCTCGGGAGACACAAACACGAGAAAACCAGGCAGGTTTTAGGCCAGGTAGAGGGTGTATTGATCACATCTTCACCCTTCGACAGATTCTAGAACATAGGCATTCCTACCGGCGTCCGACAATCATTATATTTCTTGACCTAAAGGCGGCTTTCGATTCTGTCGACCGGGAGGTTCTCTGGCGATGCCTGGCTGTAAAGGGAATGCCAAGAAAATACATTGCACTGATTAAGGCACTCTACTCATACTCATGCAGCCAGGTGAGGGCTTATGGCGAGTTGTCATCTGAAGTGGTGACGACTAGTGGAGTCCGTCAAGGTTGCCCATTATCCCCATTCCTATTCAATTTCATCATAGACGTACTAATGGATTTAACCCTATCACACTTCAGCGACTCAGGGATTGACTTGCTACCAGGGAATAATCTCGTTGACTTAGAATATGCGGACGATATAGTCCTTCTAGGCGAGGACTCTGACAAAATGCAGAGTCTACTGAACACCCTGAGCAACAATCTCCGTATGTTTGGCATGCGATTCGCCCCTGTAAAATGTAAGATGATGCTGCAGGATTGGACCTCATCGACCCCTAGATTAGAAATAGGAAGTGAAGTGGTAGAACACGTTGACCGCTTCAATTACTTGGGAAGTACCATCAGCCCCAACGGGTTGATCTCAGACGAAATTTCAGCACGAATACAGAGGGCTAGGTTCGCATTCGCCAGTTTTCGCCGTCTCTGGCGTAGACGCGATGTCCGACTATCGACCAAAGGGCGTGTGTACTGCTCAACAGTCCGCTCCGTCCTCCTTTATGGCTGTGAGACCTGGCCATTGAGAGCAGAAGACATGAAAAGGCTAGCTGTCTTTGATCATAGGTGTCTGCGTTCTATCTCCCGTGTCAAGTGGTATAATAAGGTGAGCAATATTGAGGTTAGGCGTCGAGTGCTAGGTAAAGCGGGGAAATCAATCGACGAAACGGTGAAATTACTTCGACTGAGATGGTTAGGACATGTGCTACGTATGCCTAGTCATCGCCTTCCTCGACGGGCAATGTTAGCTGATATAGGGCCAGGCTGGAAAAGAGCTAGCGGCGGTCAAACGAAAACATGGCACCAATCAATGAAATCTACAACAGTTAATCTAAGCCACGTAGGAAGATGTAGACTTCCTGGTTGGGGTCCTCGGGACGGTAAAAACCAATGGTTGGAAACAATTGGTGACATGGCTCAAAATCGTTCTCAGTGGCGCAGATGCATCCACTCCTTGTGACTTATGATTTCCAATTAAACTGTTTTGTTCTCCGTTATTACTATTCCTTTGTCTCACACCTCTGTTTACTGTTTCCATTATACATTTCTTCTACTTCCTTCTCTTGCTTTGCGTGCTACATAGATTGTGGCGACTTGAACTGCCGCACATATGTGCCAAGTTCTATGTCGAAAACCGACCGACCGACCGGTTAGGACGCTCGCCAACCATGCACATGGTCCGGGGTTCGGTCCCCGGCCGACGCACTCCTTTACCTCGCTAAGCCGGGAATAATGCTGGTGAAGAGAAAAGGTTTGGCATGAGGCTAGCAACCCCATCCTGTAAAATGAACACTGCTACAGAAACTCCAAGCCACAAGCTTGAAGCCCTATGTTCCAATGGGGAACGTGAAGGAAAAAAATGATTCTCAACATCACAGAAAAGCCAGTCAGGCAGTTATATCTCCTTGTAGCCCAAACCGAAAAGCTAAGACCTTATAGGATTAGTCAGATCATCAATAGCATCATGCGTCAAATGAGGTTTGGTTTGCATAATGCATGCTCTAGCCATCTCAAATGATACAGACTCACAACCTCATGGACTGAAATTTCCTTAATACATAACACTACATCTAACCTCATTTATCACTGACCATGTTGTTCTACCCAACATGAAAATGAACGGCAACAACAATTATCAAAAACTGCTAGTCTCTAACCTTCAGTGACCATGCCTCACAGCCATGAAGTAGAAATGAGGGCAGTGATGCAAAGTATGTATGTACTTTGATGAACAGCCGGATATCATGGTTGTGCCCAAAATAACTCAAGTCGGCTTTTTGTATCCGTGCTGAGACTTCGTTAGCAATCAGCCCACTAGTGTTGATACACCTTACAAAATAAGTAAAAGTTAAGTACCAGCACTACAAGTCCTAGCTATATAAAAGAACCAAAATACACCGCTATGTAATGAAAACCAACGGCAGTTACTGTTACACAGCAGCAAGCAATTATAATTCGTGACCTCTTAAGTTGGACAAGGCACTTTAATCACTACATTGGCATTTCCTTTCGTCTAAATCCTTTCTGGATCAGAGTACAGCTTTCAGTAAGGCTAACTCTTCGCAACATTTCAAGTGAATCAAGTATCAATTCTACTGGTTATTGTGGTGTCAGTATTAGGGAACTAGGAAACTCTGGGTCAAATGCAGCTTAGATGCCTCATCATGTGGCAATGAAAAGAATAAGTACATGAAATAATTCACTCAACTAGACATTAAGATCACATTTAGTGCCACTCAAAATAGCTGGTAAAAAATATTAATTTAAGCTAACTGAATTATAATTTTCCTACATTCTCGTACTCGAAACCTACATTAGTGTTCATATATTTTGGCACACTGAAGTTATAAAGTCTTAGAATACCACATACTAGTAATAATTTTTCGACCTACCCAAATTTCGGTAGGTTGTTGATGACTAATCAATGTTTATTTCGTTAACTTTACGAAGTACCAGCGGTTTCTAAAGTAGTTGGGACCAATCGTTAAGTGAAGAGAAATGTTCGTTATTTCTGAACCACTACAGCACCGAACGCAAACAGAACTTCCATGGCTGTGCAGATTTTGGGTTCCTTTAACACCGAGGATTCTTACTCTGAATAAAGCAAAAGCAACGGTTTGTGCAGATGGTGCAATCAAAGGTCAATAGATATCCTTCTTTTGTTAGCTCTGAATGTGTATACAAACTTACACGTATTTGCAGTAGCAGTTACATTGGGAGAGCAGAAAACAGAGTTCAAAAATATGCCCATGTCGCAAGAGAACAAACGCTTTCAATAGTGCTACTACCAGGCATATCGTTGATGCGGGACATGATGTGGACAACATGAGATCCTTTAAAGTTATCAATAAACAAAATGGTTCAATCCTTCTCAAGTTTGCTGAAGCAATTACCAGTATGTGTTCAGAAGGTAGTTATCACTCTTTCCTTGTGCTGGTAGGTGGATGCCTCTACTTTCTTCCATTTGGCTACGTAATCTTTGACTTTATTCTCTTTCCTTCCGCTATAACGTAATTTTATTCGTTTTTTGTTCCTATGATGAGTTGAACTAAGCAGAATGTCACTCAAATCATTAGTTACTTATCATCTTACCCACCACTTGCTTTTAACTACGCGACTCTTTTTCGTTTGTAACCAAGAATTTGTTTTTAGTCCGAAACTGAACCTTCCGCGTATAAACTATACAGGTGTAGTTTCTGGACACTGTTTATTAAATTCGGAGTCACCGGCAAACTAACATTATGTCACGTTTACAGAAATGTTAAATTTCTCTGTATAGAAACTAAGCATTTCTAGGCTATACACAGGTGATAAGAAGACAACAAAATAAACGGTGGTACGATCTGCACAATGCGTTGTTTTAGCCTTATTCGGATTCATCAAGGGGAATAAGTGTAGGAAAAACTCCAGTTTTCACTCCTTTAAGTGAGTGAAAAGTAAAGGTAAAAGGAAATTTATTACTAGTACGGACAAATGTTTGAAAATGTACCTTCTAGATCTCCTGCATTAGAAGACGTTTCGGAAAATGAAGTAGAACTGTTATCAACGCTGATTTTCGGTCGTTTAGGTTCCACTTCATCTTGAAATGACGGAGGGGGAGGAGGCTTTAAAGACCGCCTTAGCTGAGGACTTGGTGACTGAATGAATAAATAAAATAAATTGCAAATTGTACCGCAAATGACAATACATCCCGGACGTCCATCAAGTAGTCAAATTATTTGGGCTACTGAAGGTCTCTGGTCAATGTCCAACAGAAACCGCACCAGCACAATAAGAAGTGGCTAACGATCACCACAGTTTTAAAGAATCCTGAACATTTTTATGTTTTCCTGTAGTGTGAAATCAGATTTCATTCCTTTCCTTATCTCCTTATTCTTATTCTCTTCTACTTGCAAAGAATTAACTGGTAATGCTGCAAATATAAATATTTTTCTCGAAATATTAAAATCTTTTTCTGCTAACAAGGAGGTCTTAAATCGTGCCGGCCTCCATTTTATCGCTTTTGCATGCATGCATATTCACTGAATGAGCTGAGTTAATTACTAAAGCCTATAACTCGCTAAGAGAATTCGTCTTCATCACTTCTCTGCTGTGATCTCCGGTTGGTTTTAAACCATTTCCACCTGAAACCTTCTTATATAAGCCGACTAACACGGAAATTTACTCTGCCGCAATTCCCAAGTACTACCTTTATTTTACAAAAAAAGAGAGGTGTGCTTCAAAGCAAAACGAATGACTCTGAAATCCATCTAAAAGCCTATGTTTGACAGCGAGGAGGTTTTTCTTCATGCTTTCACATCTCGTGAACCAACACAATATTGTTGAAAATTCTCACCTTTGTTTTGTCACCCATCTTCGTTTTGGTTAAAATTTTCCATTAACATTCCAGTTTGTTGGTAAGTTGTGCTATATACTCAGATCTAAAGGATGTCCTATGAAGTAATGGCTTTTCCATCAGTCATCTGCTTAGAGCTCCTGTTGTCTGACTAAATCCTCGTATACGGAGCCTTATCCCCTTTCTGCTGGTTCTCGCGGACTCTTACTCAAAGTGGCCGGAGGTAGTACAAGTGACACCACCTTCTAGCAGCAGAACAGTATCAGTCCTGGAAAAGATCTTCGCATGTCACGGTATACCAGAAATCATCGTATCTGACAATGGCAGTCAGTTCACCTCACAAGCGTTCCAGGAATTTTGCAAGAGAAACGGTATACAACACGTGCGGACGCCACCTTATCACCCGCAATCCAACGGTCAGGCAGAGAGATTTGTCGACACCTTCAAACGAGCGTTGTTGAAAGAAGGGGGAGGGGCGAAATCAGAAGCAATACAAAACTTTCTTTTTGTATACCGAACTACACCACTGGCAGAACAGAAGAAAAGCCCTGCAGAACTTCTAATGGGTCGAATGCTACGAACTCATCACCACTCCATGTTACCATCTTCGTCACATCAACGAAGAAATAGTCTGAAGTATTACCGCAAGGGTGATGCCGTCTATGTGCGCGATTATCGACCGAGGAACAGAAAATGGGCCGAAGGCTTGATAGAATGTCGACATGGAACTCTAATGTACAAGGTTAAAGTTGGGAATGAATGGTGGATAAGACATAAAAATCAGATACGACGTCGATATATTACATCCCAAGAACCTAAATTGCCACTGGATTTACTACTGGAAACTTTCAAAATACCACCAGTCAAACCAGAAGCAAAACAAGAGATGCTACCCAGCCGACGATCCCAGCGCAAACGAACACAAACAGTTCATTTCCAAATCGACCCCAAGGAAAAAAGATACTAAACTGTTTGCAAGATTCTTTTAAAAGGGGGAGGTAATATATACGCAGGTGAATCATTATTATTCATTATTTATTTCACACACTAGCATAATCATTGATTTCACGCATCTGCGTGATTATTGATCTAAATTACTGAATTCCCAGGGTTTGTTAATATTTTTAAAATGTGACATTGATTTTTCTAATTGTATAAATACGGAGTTGTTGTTTAACATTTTCGACTGTTGTTTGAGACAGTAAAAGCTCTCATATCAACGTCCAGTCTTCTCTTTTATTTGTCTTGCGTGCCCGGCGGTATTATTGTTGTTGTTGTTGACGTGCGATTAAGACAGATTAGCCAGCGCATTAGTTAGATTCGCTCGTAGTCTACAAGGTCCTCATATTCACATACATAACACCTTTTCTATGTCATATTAAATCATTCTCTAAAAGGGAATCAGCGACCCATTGTCAAACTAAAATGGTACTACCTGGGGGACGGCGAATTTCCCATGAACATGAGTTGTTTATGTTGTTCGTAGACATGTTCGTAGTCTTTTACCCCATGTAGCTAGTCCGTAACGCGTTGGATGCTCCAACTCCCCAGTAGTCGTGTTACTTAAGCAGAATGTAAGAAGTGTAAGCTTCAACAACCCAGACGGGTCAACGAAAGTCATCTTAGGGATACTCTTGGGATTATTATGCTTACAGAAAAAAACCGTGAACGAGGCTGAGTTCAGAAAATACCTGCATACTTAAAACATTTCTACAAAAAACCGTGAATGTGAGGATTGCAGCACCTATCTGCTATAGCATGCTTCTGTGAACCTCTGTATTCTCCAAATATTCTCATCTCTTTAGCATTCCTATTGAGGTCCATATGAATTAGTGATGACCTCTATGTACTCATGTTCAAACGGTCTTCTAAACTTTTATTCGGTGGTTTGCTCTAAAGGGAGATCTAAACAGTGTGGCTTCCTGCAAACATTAGGTGGCGATTCACAATTTAATTATATCGGTTGTATTATCTGATGGTTAGATTCTTGCAATTGAGCGTGTGTGGCATTAATGACGGATCTAGCGACAACTCTCAAGAGGACAAACTGGTCAAAACTCCCGAGATCGACGCGCTTGAATTGATGACGGCCTGCTTAAGACTTGGGCTACCGAAAACGTTCAAAAATACACTGCGCACAATACCTCCTAACCAATTTGTTTAGATCTATTAAAATGTGACTTACGATAGCATTGTTCACCCTGGGGACTATTCAAAACATTCACAGCCTTCCGTTTTGCAACTTTCTATTAAACACGAGAAAAAGGACTGTCCTCGATGACAGTTTATCCCAATACATAGGACGACATTTGCTTGGTGGTGTCCCTGGTTTACAAAATGTGTTCCTGAACCTTTTACAATTGTCTTCCAACCAAGTGTCGTGAATTTCTCGAAGAAGGTTAAGAAGAGATATCATCATGGATTGGTTTGCGCTTCAGGTAAGATGGAACTGCGTCACACAACCTACTGTCAATTAATCTTTCTTTTGAAGATTCTGGACGGAGAGAAAATATCATGCAATAAACTCCGCCGAAAATTCTGCGCATTATGTAACCACTGTTCAGAATAAAGCTGTTAATATTATGGTGTCCCAGTTAGCATTGACTTTGAGCGCACTGCAGAATGTTTGGGGAAGACTTCGAAAGCGTTGCAGGAACCTTGGAATACTAACATGTACGTCCATTGGCTAAAAATCAACCAATGGAAGTAGCCCATCCCTACTATTTGCCTTATAGTAGGAGTTGCACAGATCTAAATTTAGACTGAAGCTGAGAAACAATTGAAATCACTTACTCATATATCATCCTTCAAGGTTTGGCTAGCACTGACTCAGCATCCTCGGAATATCCACTATCACCATAACGAGATGCTGTACATCATCCTGTGCAAGCAGTATCAATGATCTTAAATGGCTTACAAATAGCTTTCTACGTGTTAATCAACTTACTCGTACGGAACAACCATGCAGTGACAAATGGCGACTTTGGCTGACGTGGGTGTAGTAAAACAAATCTGCTTGACAATAATCAATATTAATCTGCATTCAGTAGAATTCACATCAGGTGTTGCTTACGATAAAAATGCTGACAAAATTATACAAATAAATCACTCTTTTCAAATTAATACCCAATTTGAATACAAATCAAGAACAAGATACGATGCCGCACACACCAAAGTTATATGGAGGAATTGACTTCAAGCTTTATTTTTTCCCCAAATATTTGTAATCCATCCAACACATACTTGGGTTTTTTTTGTTAATGCGAAGACAATATTTCTATATTTCTTAATGTGCTTCCTTAAATGACCAGTTAGCAGATTGTACTCACAAACTAATGTCGTAAAGGACAGCAAACATGTAATTTCACCATAAATCAAATTTACGTAATGTAAATAACACTTGTCCATGCCTGTAAAACTGTTGTGTCCTACATAGTGAGGAATAAATGTATATTATTATACATTACATCTTCAACCAATGAGAGCCTACTTTGTCTAATCGCGTCACAAGGACTCTGAATAAGTCACTAGTAATACACAAAATAAAATATGTTCCTCTTTTGGACTATTAAATAAAACAGTCATGCTACTAATCATTTTGGAAAAAAGTCTTCTAGTGGATAGGAATTCATGTTGAAGAAAAAGTGGAGCAATTCACAGTTTGTATTTCCACTGTGGTAAGTTGCTGGCGTGTCCGCCAAACTTCCCTGTTTTCGCATTTTTCTTATATATATATTTTAAAATATTACACTAATGTATATTTCAAAGATCATGTCAAGCCATGTTTTTCCATATGAGCTATGAGCTGATCTCTTATGCTATAATGCAGGCCAGACTTACAGGCCGGTAGTTAGATAGTAACTGCCTGCGCGTCGGTGGCACAGCGGCTTGGACTCTCGCCGACCATGCACATGGTCCGAGGTTCGATGCCCTGCAGACGCACACCTGATATCTATGGTCGGCCTGCAAAATTTGGGCTACCGATATCGAATGCTAAAAATTCCATACTTGCACCAAAAATACGGTGTGGAATCAAGCTGTAATAAAAATAAAATAAATAAAATAAATATGGGGCATATAAAGGCATCTTTCTAGCCCCTCGGTAGCCCAGCCTAGGTTAGAGACATTTGAAAAATCTCCATAAGTGGAATGTATATTATATACGTCAAGGAGGTTAACAGTCTAGAGTGAAGTCCGTCGGGTCCAGGTGATTTCCCTGGCTTCAACTTAGGCAGTAGTTTGAGAGCCACTGCATCCTCTACTATAATTGTGGTGGTGTTAGTGACTATATCAGTAACCTCACTACACCCCTGAGTGGTACGATTGGTTGAGGAAACGTCACAAAAGTATTCGGAGAGCTTCTCAGCTTTTGTTTTGTCTGACTCGGCAGCCTCTCCAGTGTTGCTAATGAGGGACGGTAT